ATATGTCACGCGTGTGTCTTACGTCCGCGTAACCCTTCCGTGACATTACGCTCTCATGTTCGTGACGTTGACACGGAAATAAACAGCTTTCGAGGAACGTTACGTACAGAATCTACACTCGCCGCGTCCATTTGTTTCCGTGCTTCCCGATGAACGACAGGTAGCCTGAAAGCATGCCGAAATTAATATTTCGCTCGCTGCCGGACAGTCTCGTTTCCCGAGACCGCTGGTAAAATAAAAACGCGCCCGCGAATATCGTCTGAAAGGGTTCGCGACTTGTCGGTAACGAAATTGTTCGCATTTTCGAAAGGCAGCTTTAGCATCGAGCGAACCGTCGCGAATTGACCTGGAAATTACAAGAGACGCGCGCGAACCTCTTGAAACATTTGGTAGAATGCAAGATTTTCATTCGTTTCCACCGATTCGTGCAAGTTCCCCGTTTTGTCCGGGAGTTAAGAAACCCTCGTTTTGTACTTCCACCAACGCCACGACGTCGTGAAACGACGGAATGTTAAAGAAGAAAATACAGAGTGAAAAGCGTGGCTGCGGAGAAAACAAGATTCTTCCACGCCCGGAAGAAAATCGAGGAAATATTTGCAGGACGTTACGCGGGAATGTAAAAAACCTTCGTTAAAATTATATTAAACGAGAAAGGCGACGGGAATATTCCTATACGCGCATTAGCGAATCCATATTGTGTCGGAGGACAGAGTTCAGCCGTACTTACCAACATTTTCTCTCGGTTTTCTAAACCGTGAAATATTGCATTATGGAATGGAATATGTGCGCGGAGAAATTAAGGTTCGTTGGAGTTCTTCGAGCAACTCAACCTGAATTTCTCTTGTGCGCTAGCAGCTCGTGCAGTCAGGGGCGACGTTTTCTTGCCGTTTTTTTCCGTCGGTGACACGAAAATCAAGAAGGAATACGCGCGTTAAACGCTGCCGGAACTTTTCTAAAGAGCGCGCGAAAAAAAAAACGGCAGAATCGAGGAATTTTTTCCAATTATTCGCTGGTAAAACTTGTTGTAATCCACGTACACTCCCGTTCATAAGTACGAAACGTACGAGAACTAATTTCTATAGTAAATAATCAGAACACGAAGCTGAAACATTGTCCATAACTGAGATACGTATGTATTTATAGCCGGTGTCCGTGTAAGCGACTGAATGGCCGGATAATTTTAGAAAGTGCAAAATATTGATCGCGAAGAATTCGTTGATTTTTGGTGGACCGCCAAAACATACAAGCGTATCAAAATTCGAGAACGTTTATCAAGTTAAAACCCATAAAAAGTTTTTACTTGTATGCTCGACACCGTCGCTATCGAGCGCGGCCAGCGTACGAATTTATTTGTACAACGATGTAATTCTCGAAATATGTATCGAGAATTAAAACACGTTGTAATTTATGTCGTTGTTCGTACGAAAAATTCGTTTCTGCGCGAACGTGCCCCGATACAAAGAAAACAATAATTCGTAAGAAAAGGGGGAGAGGGAACCTCAAGAATAGAAGTCGAAACCCAAGTGGATTAACCCGGATGCCGACCAGACACATTCATCGTTCGTTGTTATTCAAAATAAACCTTGGTCCGGCTTAGAATCGAACCGCGATCCATTTGGAAGAATTTGCATATCCCGACGAATAAAAGAAACGTTGCTCGATTAATAATCGATTCCTGTAAATCGATTTAATCGCGTTCCCGGGAATATACGACCCCCATTCGTTAACGCGTAGACTATCGGGCCAAATTCCTGAAATTTTATTGCCTTTAACGTAGCAGTTCGAGAATTAATTTGTTTAGCACGTTTGTTCGTACCCCTTCGTTTTCTTTCTATACCGGAAAGTTAAAATTACGTAACTTTCTGCAAAAATACCGTAATAATCCATTAAGCCAGCTTCAGACAGACACGGTAGCACGCCGCGTTAACTCTAATACAGTTTTTGCATGAGAATGACGGACGTTGATGTTTATACGTGGCTCCTACGATCTCATCCCACGCGAAAGTCACTGCGAAACTAACGAGTCGATCCCGTTATGGCGTCGTTCGCGGAACCAAAACGAAAAAGGCGTGAAAAATAAATGTTTCTCCGTGCGAACAAAATCTATATAAAAGGAAGCAAGTAGCTAAATGCTATGTAGAACGAGAACCAGCAATTAAGTCGTCGAACAGGGTCGCAGGGCTGTCGAGGAAATTGTTCTCGTGGAAAAAAAGTACATGGCAGACCGAACGGAATCGCATTTGAAATCGGTTTCGCGTCCGTGACGCGCAGGAATCACGCAAAAGCAAATTTAAAAATACAAGCGGGTACAATTTTAGACCACGCACGTCACTTTCTCTGTTCTCTTTTTTTTTCCGAGCTTCCTAGATTTCGGGTCTCTGATTAAATCGAACGCAATGATAGGACGCGGGGATAAACGGAATTTTGGGACTCGGTCGAGTGGAAGAGTTAAGCGGAGATATAAGGCTCCGTGCTTTATCGCATTTCTCTTCGGTTGCTCGAAAAAGCTACGAGATTAATCAGCGTAGGGTTCGAAAGCTTTCCAGCGTACTTCTCGGCGGACGTGTTTCCGCAACGACCGATATTCCGCGTCACAAATTTCCGTGTCGATCCTCGATTTAATACTTGTCGATCGGTGAAACCGTACCGGGGACACTTTTCCCCTTCGCTGGATTACACGATAAAATCGTGAAAGATTTTTCAAAGCAACTGATCGAGAAAGCAACACTGAAAGAAAAACACATGAAAAGAAGCGGTAGATTCCGATGCTTTTATAGAATCTAATTATTTTGTTAATAATTGCGGAGTAGGGCAGGAAACGCGAAACGTCATGACATATTGAATATGTTTACGTTTCTCCAACTACGAGTTTATCGTGACACTCGACGGCCGTATTACTGTGACGCGTTTCTGACACGTCTGTTTCACCGACTCGAGTGCTTTATAATATCATATTTCATTGGACGGCGCATATGTACCGTTCAGTATGCATTACGTAGTTACCTGGTTCTTGCGCTAGACAGCTGTAAATACAAATACATTTAGCGCGCCAACTTTCTAACGAAAAGTTGGATTTGCATTCTGCTTTTACATCGTGCATTTTAATTTATACACGCATGGTACGCTTTACGTCCGAAAGTTCTTTTTTCCTTGTTGCGAGCTCTGTAATCGCTGCTCGCGTTGAACCGTGATACGCAAAATAATTCGTAAAGCATACTTTGGCAATTATTCTCGGATCAAGAAGAATAAAATTGATGATTTAAAAACCTCGTTTCGCAAGGACGAGATTAAACGATACTCATCCTGGATTCTTTCTCTCGTGTCTGTACATTTTCCGAAGATTCGAAACGGAAACCCTCGCCGAGAGGTAGAAAAATTCAACAACATCGAGGAGTAAAAACTCGGGTAAAGCTCAGAAAGTTTCTCCTTAACGGCGAAGAGTCGAACGGTGTTGAAAAAACGAACACTCTGCCATGTTGAATTCGCGTAAAAATATCGTTTAAAGAACGAACGGAGTTGTTCGGTTAACTCAAGAGAAAAATAGATTCTAAAGATAAACCAGTTACGACCGAGTTTCCCGGAACAGATTCGACATTTCCTAAAACTTGGATATTCTCTCGAAATAATGTTTCGAATGGTTCGTGTGGTACTTTCGAGAATGTGAAAAATATTTTAGTTGCTAAATAAAAGAGCCCGGTCGGATTTAGAAGCAATCTGTCCGCCGCGCAATCGCTTGTACACAGAAATCCTGGAATATTGTCGCAGGCTGCGAGTAAATTTAAGGACTCGAGATAGACTCAAATACGTCGTTTACACGGCCCGAAATAGGATAGCAGCTTGTAACAGGCATTTATTGCGAAGATCTCTGATAGTTTATGGCGTAACGTGCTGGAACAATCCGCTGGAGTATCGTGTTTTATTAAAAAATATCACCGCTTTGAAATTTTTGGCTTGCGTATGTATGTGAGCCCATTTCCACCAAATTGATTTTAGCTAAGAGAAATCGCTTGGTCTCTACTTTGAGCGCGTATTTTGCGACAGCTCGTAACGATTCAAATAGCTGGGTTACAGGTTCGAAGCTTATCCCAGAATTTTATCGTTCATTGCATTCCCATCGGAGACGTAGACATATTGCACCAAGTGACACATGAAAGACGAGAGGACTGGTCGAGCTAAAAGCATCTAAAATGCTTCGAAAAAGCCTCGGCAAAAATGCCGTGCTTGATCGAATCAAGTTACGGATCTCTTTTATCCAGCGCTGATGCTGTAACGAAGAAAAAGAGTCCTTTCAGAACTCTACAAAGGCCCCCTTTTTCCTTTCCCCGTTCCCTTTTTCCCCCGCGCAAAGTTATTCCCGGCATAACCAATCGCAATTATTAAAGCTCAAATCGTTTTGCGCGGTCTTGGGAATTTCGATAGACCGACGGGGCCACGGTGTGAAAATGGTTCGTTTCGTCGTGTAAAAGTTTTAAATAAAACCTTTTTGAAAGTAGATGCCGCGAGATGGCAATTTTTCAAAGTCCTTTCAGGCACGTCTGACCATTACCGGTTTACTCTACTTGCCTTGGTATTTCCTCGCTTTATCTTCCGATGTTTCGAAACACCAAACTAACTAGAAATAATAAATAATGACCGGACACATTAGGACGATAGTCCAAATATCGATAACGTTTAGGTCAAGTGCTCTACTTGCGACCGATCGATTAGAAGTTCTGAATGGTTAAAGATAATAAAGGGAATTTCGTTAGGGGCAATGTGTAGGAAGATCTAAAAATATCGAGTCTCGAAATCCTCTAAACTGTAGTTTGTAGTGGTTCGTTAGCAAGAATGGCAGTCGGAGGTGCTCGAACGCGACTAATCTCTCGATAATGAGCGATCGGAGGCAAAGACGTCGCGATCGAGTCGCGGAAATTGCTGTTTCGAGGCTGATTCGAGATTTCCGGTATCGAGGAATAAATAGAGAACGATTCGGTTGGGAAGCTAAGCGGACTAGGACTCACCGAACGAGATGAGGCCGCTGTTCAGCATCGACAGCTTAATCTGACTGGGAATGGAGGCGAGACTGTGCCCGGGATTAAGATGACGTTTCCGCGGCGGTTTCTCCGGCGCCCTCGGCGCGCTTCTGCTCCTGTGATGATGATGGTGCTTCCTGTGCGAGTGGGAATGAGAACCGCCAGCGGTCGAAGTGGCTCCGGTGCGATCGGAACCGACGCTGCTCAAACCGAGGACCCCGCCGCCGGTCGATTGAGTCCGCAGCGACGACATTTTCTGCAAAACGAAATGCAAACAGTCCCCGATAAGACACCGAGATCCCGGATAACAAACTAATTTTAAAACGGTTTAAATGGATTCCCGCTCTTCGAGATCCCGTTTCTCAATCAATGGGGAATCTCCAATTTATCAAATCCTCCAATTACACCGCGAGTCGGCCGCCGTTCCTAGCACAATTTCAACTGATCGAGCAAGACTCCATCTCTATCTTGCTTGTAGAAAAAATAGCGATAGGTACCGATATAATTTCATCATTTTCTAATTGGAATTCTTGGAATAATTCAATTACAATTCCGCGCAACTCTGAACGCTTTAACAGCGGCGGTCAGGCGACTCGAGCGAACAAGCAGCATCAATTGCACCAGAGTAAAGTTGGAATACATTATTTTACCGTATAGTTATAAGCGGAGGTGTACCAGGAACTACGCCGGGGAATTACGCGTCGAACGCGACGCGGACCGAATAAAGTCTACAAATAGTAGCGATGAATTCGTTCGAGCCAACGACACTTCCTGCGCGCCGTGTGCCGGCCTCGTAAATCTCGGGTAAAAAGTAAACTTCTGGCGAGTACGCGTTTCTGGAATGAACGTTCCGTTGTGCTCGGTAATAAGTCGGCGACACGCGTCGTCGATCGTGAAATCGAAAAGTTTCGCGCTCGATTTCCGGGGATCCTAGAGCTTCTCTAACGTTTCTTTACCGACTGCACGCGAATCGCCAGAGAATAGAGACAACAGCTTCGGCCAGTTGGCAAACGGAAGACAAGAGGCTTTTGACGCGTGCGTCGTACGGTTCTTTCGACGACTATTAAGGTTTTATAGCTCGAATCGAGCTCGAAGAGACGGAAACGAAGACGCGAGCGCAAGCTGCCTCTTGGCGCTTTTGTAAACGACGATTTTTGGCTAATTTATAATCCGGCGAGGCGAGACGGGCCATGCAAGCTCAAAAATGTTGTCTCGTTATTAAATTTTGCTTCGCGATCGACGCGATGGCCGATGATAGAAAAATTGCAGTCGGATGTTTCGCGGTAAACCGAAAGATGCATTATGTGGCATGCGGTGTATATTTAGCACGCTAATACAGTCTTTCCTGTAGTTCGTCGAATCTAACAGTCACCAAGAATACCGCTAGAATTATGTAACGCGATGAGTCAATGCGCGCTAAGAATCGTGACAATGTTTTCCTTTAGTTTGGTGTACAGCATCCACCAAGACGATGAAATTTTTTAGCTTATCGGTAATACATAGTACATAGAATATCCCCACGAGCTCCATTGTACCAAGAGGTTTAGAGCCACCGATTTAGACAATAATTCTCGTCTCTGTAACGATACCAAGTCGAGCGCGTAAGTAGAAACAGACACCGCTCCGTATATGATCAGACCAGCCGGGTTTCACGCGCGTACCTAATCCACTCTAAAATATGATGTTCAGTGCCGCGGAAAAGATGGTTGCGTCAAGCCGTTGGTAAATGTTCGATGTTGGGAAATTTATTTCAGGAGAACGGGACGATAACGAGCGAAGATCGACGGTGTGGCTTTGTCGAAAATTCGTCGGCTTCGCGGCGAGCCTAAGATCTCAAGGTTTCCGGGTCGAGAGCTGCGCGCGCGGTTATTTTTAAATGTTTTGTAAGTCGTGTTCGGGCTTCGACGCTGTCGAAGGTCGGTTATTGACCATTCTCGACCTTTAAATTCCTATTCGAGATTTTTAAATTCCGGATCGACACGAGCACTGTTCTTTTCCGAGATGAATTTTCGAAAATGCACTCGATCGTTGTATATTTCGAAAAGCTTCGATGTTATAACGTGGGAACGAATAGGATTCCAATGACCCGGAGATCAAAGCGCCTCTGTACACTTTTCTCTTCGTTTCGTTCCACCGTGAAACCCTGATAATCTTACGAACTTTTACGGACGCTAAACAGCACTTAAATATTTGAGTTCCATACTTTTTAACTGTGCAGCCCACGGTAGTAATGAAATTCCAATGTTAACTTTAAACCGGCGTCTTTGGAGCGTACCTTTTAATATCAGCATAAAGAAAGATGCAAGACGCAACGTTCGTTACGTTCTAAACTTCGTAATCTGCAAGCTTGGCAACCTTGACTTTTAACAATACTATCGAATATGCGAACAAACCTAGAAAAATTTAATAACGCGTACCATCTTTATTTCATTTGCAAAACAAAGCCTCGAGGCTTCGAAAACGATTAGAGGGACGTATAATTTTCGTCGGATACTTGGGTTACTGATTTTTAATTAAGACTTAATCCGAACGCTTCTTAATTAAGCGCCAAAGGGTAAGCGGCAGGGTTTTTTGCGGTTGTTGCGCGATAATTAAGTTCTAAACGGATTAAAATTGTCCACCGATATTGAAAAAGTATCGATTCTTCGAGCAGTTTGTAAAGGATATGATTTTCGGCGCGTGATTCCAAGAAATTAACCGACTCTCGTGTCTCGAGACCGCGCAATCAATTCAGGGGAAATCGCGACCCGCTAATTAATAAAACGGATTGCTTTAGTCGCCGCAGGAAGCACGCACGTAGCCTGGGAATTTATCATGGAACAATAACCCGCGTAAACGTTTAAGCCACAGAGTTACGGTGTTCTCGGCTAGGTCGGTCTTAATACGCGTCGTCGTTGAATAGCCCTGGATTTACACTCTCGTATAACTGCACTGTGCGAGTATATAATCGAACAGACGCGATGGCTTACAGTGAATGGATCCAGGACTGGACTCTGCTAATCTACAGCTCATCGACGACGATCGTCTACGGTGAAGCGTAATTCCCACGAGCCGTGTTCAAAATGCAATCGATTTTTTTTATCGTCGCGCGTAGAATATTTTCAAATAGAGCGTCGAATCTTGGTAAAAGGATCTCGTTACCGCGGAAGAAATACCTCGGTTGTAAAGCAAGAGAATGAAGACCTCTTGACACTATTTTTTAAGAGGCCGTTAAGTCCGTTAGTGCAGACAATAAGAACAGAGCGGGCGTAAAAGAGAAACCGCCGCTAGCACGTCGGTCGGCGATAATCGTTGGACTTGGAACGAAAAAGCGAGAAAGAGAAAACCCGTACAATTGCTATGGCGGAATCACTGTGCTCGTAAACACGACTCCGGCGCCCGCTGATGAATTCGTACGATTCGTAATTTTTTCCCGAATCGGATTTTCCGCCCCAAAGAGACGGGATTTAAGTCCTCGTGCAATCACCACCGGCGTCGTAACAACAAAACTTACGACGGGGGTGGGATTCCATCGAGAGAATCAGAAACAGTTACGTTTCCTTTCTCTCGCGATTTATTTTCCAGCAAAGCAACTGAATTTGCCGCATATTTTTTTTTATATCTCTCGTGGACGTTGTCAGTCGCGTAGATAATTGATATCGCGTTCGTAACGATCTCGAATCAAGTTGTCGATGGGTGGATTTACAGGTGACCGTAGGTAAATCGATATTTTCGCCATTAATTGTGATAGTCTCGCAATAACACGTATCGCGTTCATTGGTTATCGGTACACGAGATGCCCGCAATAACGATCGTGCAAGCGTATAGATAACTTAACTGTTAGCAAAACGATACGAAACGACGTATGAAAAGAGGGGACGATAAATTCTCGAATTGAGATTAAAACGAAAGAAATTGTATTAAAATAAAATCGAAACGAATCCGGTACGGAGTAGCATTCCTTATCGATGAACACAATTTTTTACGATGATCTATAGCCCCTTGGAAAAAAAATCGGGAAGCATCTAACGGTCTCTCGCCCCAATATTTCTACTCGTATATTCGCCTCGTATCCCGACTCACCCATTGAACACCGAGGGCTGATACGAGTAAATAAATTGGTAAATTTATGAGAGTAAATTTCCTCTTTCGCTGGTAAACATATCTATATATTATCCAACATCTACCGACAAAGCGCCACGGGAACTTGTTCTCGAAACAAACATTGATCGATTCTCAGAAACATTGGATTTTTAACGTGTTCTCCGTTTATTTCTAGTTTGTCGAAAATCTACTCCGAACCATGCCATCTCTTTCGCGATTTAAAGCGTATCATTTTTCTTGACAATGTAGAGGGAAGAATTTCGCATGCAACGTTATAACGAGGATGGTTACGATACTTGAGGCATTCCATATCGTTCGAATTATAATTTGACACGGAAAAGGAGAGAATGGGACGGAGTAGTCATCGAAATGCACGCGAAACCGTAATGATGCATTTTTTCGCATGAGACGTCACATCGCTAATTGGACGGTTTCTTCAATACTCGACTATGTGATATCGATGTTCGATACGTGACTGCAAATTCCTCTGCAGGCACGAATATCGTAGGGAAGAATTTCACGAAGAATGCCATAGCAGTAATAATAGTACACGCGTACAATATGCACTCGATTTTATCGCCAATAAACCCGCCTATCGACAAAATTCCGTTTTACAATTTCTATTTACTCGTTCTCAAGAAATTATCCACGCCCGTTGTATAATTTGCCTATCGACGCAAGTGTTTTCCTTTATCCGTTTCTATCGAATGGTGGTTGGAAGTTTCATCCGATTCGAGTGATTTGCGTTCGTTGTTGGTGTAACGTTTCTATAAGCACAACGGCGGATTAATAATATTGTAATGAACCGATGACCGTAACACACCATCTGCAAACATGTGTTCGCGCGTGTAATGCTCGTTACATATACATGTACATGTATGCATGCATTGTGCGTACCGCTTACTGTATCAACATATGGTGTAACAAGCACATACGTGCATACAGTATGATACAACAATTCGGGATCTACGGTGCACGACCTGACACATGGTGTACGATCAAAGATAATTCCATTTCACGTAGGGATTTAAGTAGAATACGTACTGCTCGTTTCAAGTACGAAACTAACGCCAATGATCGTAGAGATCGTTTTTCTTTTTCCAACGATATACGAGGGGGCAGCCATTACTCGTTTCGTTCAATAGTTGTCGATCCTACGTCACGTTTGGTTTCTTAATCGAAGATCACGGACGCATTGGCAGGTATTATCGATACAAAAATACACGTTTTATTTTAGAATAGCGCGTCCTATACTGTAACCCTAAACTACGGTAAATGGAATTAGATCAAGGGTTTGGGGGGGAAGAATATTTCCAACTCGTAACCCATAGAGATCTAAAAAGACACGTAGATCGCGATGTTTACGGATCTATTCTCCGTCGTAAGAAAGATGTCCTGGTAAACGTTCGTTGGCAGAGCTTGGAGGTATTGCGTTGCTTCCGGTCGATTTCTAATTGTATCGCGTGCATTGTCTACGCGTTGCTGCAATTCCTGCAGAATTTGAACCGCGAGATGGTCATCGGAGCTTGTTGATGCGGTTTCTTGGCATTCGTTCCGATGGCTGCTACGTCTGCTTGAAACTTGCTAAAGTTAAAGCGTCGAGGTAGCCGCGACTCGATAGACAAAAGGTTTTTTGATGATTTTTTAAATATTCTATAGATTATTTTGATATTATTATCGTTGGGGGGAGGGGCGATGGCCAAAGAAAATACGAGTTGGCCAAGTTTCCAAACGATTGCGCGTTATTTGGATTCGTGGGCATCTAGTGCCAGCGCACCAGTTCCACGTGTATGTGCAACGCGTCGCATAAATCCGGCGCTTCCGCGAGGATAGGTATTTACGCACGCGGATTCGAATACCGGTGATGCATGCGCGTCCTCGTACACCGAGAACGGCGCGGCGCGCAACCATAAGTGCCAAAACTCGAACGCGAAAGTATTCCCGACGCTCGCGTTTCGAACGTTCGATCGATGAGAGCTGAGTGTTTTGTTCTTTGGAAAGTTCGGAACGTTAAAAAGACGAGTTTCGGCGCGAAATCTCGTGGATGTATAGGGTGGTGGATGGGAACGTACCTCGAAGAAGTGCCCCGCGAGAAGAAGGAACACCTCGACCGGGAAAAACAGCTCCTCTCCGGTGCGCTTCTCGCGAAGCGACGAACGTGCACGCGTCAACAAACGGGCAATTGACGCCTGGCGATATCCAGGTCGCGTCGAGGGTCGATCGATCGAAATCGGGGATAAACAGAGATCCCTCCGTCGGTCCTTCGGGCAGGCAATCGGGCACACCGTCCGGCACGCGACGAAATAACAAACCGTGTCCCGTTTTGTGTAACCAGCGGTCAGCTTCCGGTTCCAACTTCACGGCTGCGTGCCGGTGTCATCGATCCGCCCGTAAATCTCGCTCGATTTCGTTCGATCCCTGTCACACGGCGTTTACCCCTTTCTACGCGGTAACCGCACGGCGGTGCATCGGTACGCGTTCTTCTCGCTCTCTATATCTCAATATAAATAAACATACGCGCGAGGGTGTGTGTGCAACGCGACCGTTAAGAAGGAAAACTGGGTATCGCGAGGCGGCGAGGCGAGGCGGGTGTCTCTGTACGTCCCGAAGGAAAGCCTGAAAATTCACCCCAGTCACGTTTATTTCACAAGCTTTCCACACACACGCGCGCGGTCACCCACCCACGTTTAAACCACGACGACGACGACCATGACGGTGACGAGTTAACGAGGACTACGGGGAGGACGTCGACGTCGACGAGCGCGAGGTCGGTGAAAGACTGGACGACACGCGACGCGACGGACGAGTCACCGTCGACGATCGGTCGAGTCGGTCTGACCGGTCTGACGAGAGGATCCTAGGACCGTCAGGCTGCCCGCGTGGGGGTGGGGCTGGGTGGTCGGGGGGCCGTGGGGGTGGGGGAGTGAAAATCCTTGGGGTGGGGAGGACGCGAGAGAGAGCGACGTTAGGCGGCGGCACGTCGTCGGCGCGACGGGAAAGGGGAGCTTCGCCGCGGGTGGAAGAGGGACGGACGGCGTCGGCGTCGGCGTTGGCGTCGACGTCGGCGTCGCTTCTTCGCCGAGGGCGTGGTCCTGCTCGGTCTTCGGCCGCTCTCCTCGCGAGTCTTCAGCCAGAGATCGGAGTAGCCGATACTACCTAACGTCTCGTGATCATTTCGATTTTTCCAAATCAATTTATCGATACGCTACGGGATTACGGATTACTTTGGTTCGCGGTTTCATACACTTTTTCCCTCCCCGCCGTTTCCCCGTTTCCACCGAGGAATTATCGTCGCTTTCGTTGGTCTTACTCTACTTTAACAAGTAGAATTACCGACCGCCACGCCTGTTTTACATCTCTACAGATAGGTTTGATATTTCTTCTTTAGTGAGGAAAGAATATTCGATAGTTTGCTACTTGTCGTTGTATAGTGTTCTTGGAATCGTTGACATTATTTTAGGTATCCCCAGGCGTGTTTGTACAGAGTTGTTAAGAGTTGTATTTATATACGTGATACTATTAAGTTTCGATTCGATCGTTTCTAAACTGTAAGTCGAAGAATGGTGTGAAACAAACGTTTTCCCCGGATATCCCTACGAGAGTACGCTATTTTTAAGCTCCTGACATGAAACTTGTTTCGCGGTCAGCACGTCTTTGAAAGAAAAGCAGTAATCGCGTTACGTCGAGGCCTCGAGATAAAAAGGAAATGCCGATGATACTCCAAGGTCCTCGTCTATTGGAATTGTTGCCACTTTCCTTCGGAAAATCCCTACTGATGGAGATCGAGTAATATTACTTGCACCGCATTACCGACTCCGGTGTCTTCTACGTAGAAAACTTAAACGGAACGTCTCCGAAATTAAATTCCAATCGCTCTCGAAAGAAAATTCGCCTCTGCGCTTCCGCTTGGTATTCTTCCTCGAGAGATCGACAGCAAGTTTTAAGAGCGAATGGTTAAGTTCGATAAAACATAAACTATTACCAAGTCGATAAATTTAATGGGTTGCTGCATTTCCGATAATTTAAATAACCGGATCAATTTTCTACTCGACTCCGATCTACGTATTTACAAACATTTGCTCGGTGTGCGATGCTATGCGGTTGCTAACCCTCGGATTTCCCAGACGGCCCAAAACAACCTGTGCCAAATACAGTTTAACACCGCTTGCATTCCAATGGGCAAGGGGCTCTCGAAATATTCCACGTTTCTCGCGAAACTGCATTTTATTTCACGGTTCGTCCCAACTAAATTTCGCCACCCCTAACAAAATCGATACTAAACAAATATTTCCACAACGAAACGCTCCTCTCCTTAAAGTTCCTTTTCTCCGGGACTGAGTGCAATCGCGAGCAGAACAACCCCGTTGATTTAATAAACATAATACATATATTGAAACTAGATAAATATAAATGACAATTTACAAGCGAAGGATCAAACGTTATCTTGTAGGATAGCTAAAGTATAAGTTTGTCTAATCGTTGGGTAGTCTCTATTAATTCGAATTAAAAGTTCCTAAGCCGATATGGGAGCCAAAGGTCATTCTTGGATGAGTGAAATTTACGAAACAGTCGAGAAAGAAGGACACGCGACAGGTCCCGAAAAGCCAGACAGACCTGACCCAATTGGACGGTCTCGAACGTGGGGAGCGTTGTAATAAAACGGTTAGGTGACATGCCTGACGATCCGCGTCGGGCAAGGTTAAGCCAAAGATGCCAGACGGAGCCCCGAGTGCACCGGGGACACCTCATTCCCCTTGATCACCAGAGGTGCCAGAAAAGCATCGACGGTGCCCTACTCACACATGCCAGATCACTCATACGTGAGCTCGTGGAGTTTCGGAAAGCCGACAAAGGCAAACCGACGCATGTCCTCTTCCTCGATTCTCCGAAGCTGTCCGAAATAATTTCGAACCGCCTCGTTGGGAGTCGAGAGAGCAAGGCTCGCATTAGCCTTCTCGCTCTTGAACAACTAAAATTCGACCTCGCGTCAACGTCAAACGATTCCAAGTCTCGACTGTCCAGATATCTTTTACTTTCCGACCTATGTAGGCGCGCATAAGCAAGGTTCTATAAGGAAACAAAATTTTCTGAAATTTTTTTTACGGAAATAGACGTCTTAAGACCCCCTGATCATATTATAACTATTGGAAAGACAGAAATTGTTTTTATTACTCCTATGGATGAGCGACCATATGTATATCATTTCAGATATCACTTCTGATATATCTGGCAACGTGTAAGCATTACTACTGGCTACTGCCAGTCTCTCAAAGTCTCTGCTGGGCTTCTGCTGGTCTCTGCTAACCTCTGCCAGCATATGTGAGCTTCTACCTGCCTCTGCTGGCCTCTGCTGACCGCTGCTGACCATCTCTGATACTTCTAACAACGTATAACGATTACTACGGGCTACTATCAACGTCTGCCGGCCTCTACAGGCTTCTGCTGGCCTCTGCTGACCACCGCTTATATTTCTGACAACGTATAACGATTACTACTGACTGCTGCCTGCCTCTGCTGGCCTTTGCTGACCACCACTTATGTTTCCGACTACGTATAACGATTACTACTTGTTACTGCTTGCCTCTGCTGGTCTCTGCTTGCCTCTACATGTCCCTACATGCCTCTACACACCTCTGCTTGCCTCTGCATCCCTCTGCTGACCACCGCTGACCACCTCTGATACTTTCGACAACGTACAACGATTACTACTTGTTACTGCTTGCCCCTGCTGGTCTCTGCTTGCCTCTACATCCCTCTGCATCCCTCTACACACCTCTGCTTGCCTCTGCATCTCTCTGCTGACCACCGCTGACCACCTCTGATGCTTCCGACAACGTACAACGATTACTACTTGTCACTGCTTGCCCCTGCTGGTCTCTGCTTGCCTCTACATGTCTCTACATGCCTCTACACACCTCTGCTTGCCTCTGCATCTCTCTGCTGACCACCGCTGACCACCTCTGATGCTTCCGACAACGTACAACGATTACTACTTGTTCCTGCTTGCCCCTGTTGGTCTCTGCTTGCCTCTACATCCCTCTACATGCCTCTACACACCTCTGCTTGCCTCTGCATCTCTCTGCTGACCACCGCTGACCACCTCTGATACTTCCGACAACGTACAACGATTACTACTTGTTACTGCTTGCCCCTGCTGGTCTCTGCTTCCCTCTACATCCCTCTACATCCCTCTACACACCTCTGCTTGCCTCTGCATCTCTCTGCTGACCACCGCTGACCACCTCTGATACTTCCGACAACGTACAACGATTACTACTTGTTACTGCTTGCCCCTGCTGGTCTCTGCTTCCCTCTACACACCTCTGCTTGCCTCTGCATCTCTCTGCTGACCACCGCTGACCACCCTTGACCCCCCCTGGTCTTTGTTAATAACTTCTGATACGATGTATATGTATTAAAGTCTTTATAATGTAAATCTAAGATAATAAATGATATAATTTCAAAGAATTCTATGTGTTCTGATCATTTTTTCCTTTCTTTTCCTCTCGAAATCATTCCCATAGTTATAAGATACGTGCCACCTCTTCCCATATGTCCCCCTGATATCCTCCCGATGTCCTCGTCATTTCCTAGAAGTTTTGCTGGCAAAATCGAGAATTCATTTTTCGTCGAAAAGTCCTGAAACAATTTTGAAGTCCTGAAACAGTTGGAAAGTCCTGAAACAGCGAAAAACCCTGAAACAACGAAATTTCGAAACAGTTGGAAAGTCCTGAAACAGCTGAAAAGTCCTGAAACCGCTGGAAAAGCCTGAAACAGCGAAAAAGCCCTGAAACAACGAAATTTCGAAACAGTTGGAAATCCCTGAAACAGCTGGAAAGTCCTGAAACCGCTGGAAAAGCCTGAAACAGCGAAAAAGCCCTGAAACAACGAAAATTCGAAACAGTTGGAAAGTCCTGAAACAGCTGGGAAGTCCTGGAATTTCTTGGAAACGCTGAATTTTTAGCAAAGTTCTGAGTTTTAAGAGTTCCTGGTGGGTTCAGGGAAACCAAGGAGTTTCAGGGAGTCTTATAACTAAGGGAAGAGGAAAAGAAAGGTAAAAGTGATGAGAAGACATAGAATTCTTTGAAGTTATTTCATTTATTGTCATAGATTTACATTATACAAAGTTTTAATACATATACATCATGTTAGAAGTTGATAACAAGGGTCAGCAGTGGTCAGCAAGGGTCTGCAGGGGTCAGGGAGGGTTAGCAGGGGTCAGCAGGGGGCAGTAGAGGCCTGCAGAGGGATGCAGAGGCAAGCAGAGACCAGCAGGAGCACGTAGTATTCGTTGTACGTTGTTGAAAGCATCAGTGGTGGTCAGCAGGGGTCAGCAGAAGGGTCAGCAAGGGTCAGGGGGTCGGGGAGGTCAGCAGGGGGCAGTAGAGGTTTGCAGAGGGATGCAGAGGCAAGCAGAGACCAGCAGGAGCACGTAGTAATCGTTGTACGTTGTTGGAAGCATCATTGGTGGTCAGCAGAAGGGTCAGCAGGGGTCGGGGCGGTCAGGGGGGGTCAGCAGGGGTCAGCAGGGGACAGTAGAGGCCTGCAGAGGGATGCAGAGGCAAGCAGAGACCAGCAGGAGCACGTAGTAATCGTTGTACGTTGTTGGAAGCATCAGTGGTGGTCAGCAGGGGTCAGCAGAAGGGTTAGCAGGGGTTAGGGGGGTCAGGGGTGTCAGCAGGGGCCAGCAGGGGGCAGTAGAGGCCTGCAGAGGGATGCAGAGGCAAGCAGAGACCAGCAGGAGCACGTAGTAATCGTTGTACGTTGTTGGAAGCATCAGTGGTGGTCAGCAGGGGTCAGCAGAAGGGTCAGCTGGAGTCAGGGGGGTCAGGGAGGGTTAGCAGGGGTCAGCAGGGGGCAGTAGAGGCCTGCAGAGGGATGCAGAGGCAAGCAGAGACCAGCAGGAGCACGTAGTAATCGTTGTACGTTGTTGAAAGCATCAGTGGTGGTCAGCAGTGGTCAGCAGAGGGATGCAGAGGCAAGCAGAGACCAGCAGGAACACGTAGTAATCGTTGTACGTTGTTGGAAGCATCAGTGGTGGTCAGCAGTGGTCAGCAGAGGGATGCAGAGGCAAGCAGAGGCCAGCAGGAGCCAGTAGAGGCTTCTCTTCCTCGATTCTCCGAAGCTGTCCCAAGTAATTTCGCACCATCTCGTGGGAGTCGATAGAGAAAGTCTCGCATTTGCCTTCTCGATCTTGAACAACTGAAATGCGACGACCCTCGAGCTTATAAATAACCGCGAAACATTCCCTCTTGGAGCAACGCGCTATTACATCTATATAGCCCCTACAATGGGGATCTTGTTCATGTGACAGACGTTGCTCCAATCTAATCGAAAAGTGTTAATTGATATCAGCTCGTTTCCATTGGATTCGCAGTTTTACAGTCATTCGCGTAATCGAATACAAGCCCACAGTCGCAACAACAACTATGCGCGATCTGCAAGGGCAAGGTGTTGTTTCTCTCGCGTACAGTAATTCGACAAACATTATCCAAACGTTAAGGATATCATCATTTATTTCTATTAAAATTATTACCAGTATAGGTAGCAATTATTACGGCTAAGTTACTTTTCTATAATACCAGAAAGAAAGAAACTTAAAAGTAGCAAAGAGGAAGGATCGATCGCAAACGGGACGTACGAAAACACCGTCGCTCGTGTTACAAATGATTATATTTCACTTTATGTTACAAAAAGAATCTCTACTGCGGATAATGTCCCATCAGTTAAATAACGTTTAACACCAGGCACCGAGGATGTAACCTGAAATCAACACGCCGTTTACGCGTTCGCTTTCTTCGTTTCCCCATTGTAGATAATGTGTCGCTGAACATCTACTTAATGTCTACTACCGATAAATCTACTTAACACGACTGACGCTCTCGTCTGATCTTAGTATTCTCGATAAACGTGGGAAGAACTCGCGAGTTCGTTACGATCGGTCTCTACGATACAAGTGTTGTTACAAGTAGTTGTCTTACTTGACGGCTAAAACGAAAATATATAGCTGGATTGCTCGGAAATATAAATCGTCGATCAAAGTCTTCGGTGTTCCTGTCTCTTATCGTACGTTCGAAAATTTATCGTGGCGTAATACTAAAGTGCATTTACAGTATTTACAATGACTTTGGGTCCTTGGGGATCGAATACGCTGTCTGACTAAACAGAATGACAAAGATACGTGTCTTCCAAGTTTGTTCAATGAAGAAGACGAGTCGTTGAACCCATATTAAGAAATATGGACGAAACGTTGCTTGTAATTCGTCTACGAAACATGGACACTAAGTCCCTGCGTGGAAAAGACATTCTTTGGATGGCGATGTTAGACTATAGCTAAAATAATCGGTTCGAATACGTTTCGTTAATTTCTAACACGACAGTCTTCGACATTGAAATAAAAAGAAACGTGATCAAGGGGAACAGAACAACTAGGACGAAGCGTTCCCGATTAAATGCAACGCGTGGACCCTGTTAAAGTGCAAAGAAACACAGAAACGTCCTCGATAACGCTTAAAACCCATCTTAGCCACTTGATTTCCGACGGCCCAATTAACAATACCCAGCACAAGTTACGCAGTCGGTTAAATCGTTTTATTCTACGCCATTACAGCTAGTCTTACTCGGCACTCGAGTGTTTCTTTATTCCTAACGTTCATATAATACGATCTAAAAGTCGAACGCACACCACTGCCAGGAAGTGAACTAGAATTCGGACGCAATCGTAGCTTTTACGGAAGCCTTGAGCAGATCTACCTGCCAGGCGTTATCGATACATCTCTTTAGCTTCCGGCAGGCAGACGCCGATCTTCTCTTAATGATCCTTTCGTTCGACTTTCGCTTATTCTTTCTTACACACCCCCCTCTCCCTCCCTCCCTTTTACATCGAATCGTTTCGATCGTATCTTCCTCACGAATGTAAAAATATAATGGTACCTCTTCGATACGACGTTAAACAATCGTTTAGATAATTTCTTTTTCTCTTAACCGTACAAGCTCGATGAAGAATAGAAGGAAACGCGCGTTCTATCATTTTTCTATCCGGCGCCGGTTCGCGGCGAGTTCGACCAATTAAATTAATTCTAATCGTTTTATGTCGCTGTTATTGTCAAAGATGGAATAGCTTATTATTAGTAATTTCCCTTTTAAATATCAAAGACAATTGGATTTTTGTTTCAACCGCGAACGTGTCACGCGCCGGGTCTAAAGAAGCAGAGAAGAAACATTCATGGACAGAAAGGAGTCTCGAGATTTAATTATCTTCTCCTTCGAAATAACAACACGGCCGATTCTTCGTTTCGAATAGCGCTATTTGTGAAAGAAAGGATATATTCGACGGATCCCCTTTCAGAGAATTGAACGGAGCAACGTCTACGAAGAGTCATCGACGATACGTAATCGCGCCAAGGAACTTTACGAAGGACGTCAAGTGTGTGAAGGATAGATCCCTCGAAAGGACAGAATGTCTTTGGCAGAAGTAATTTACAGGTTTGCGCTTTGGCGACTGAATTTCGTTCGTTCGTGGAAAACGTACGCTAAAATATGTATAATCGTTGTGTTCAAAGACGCCCGTACTTTGAAGTTTCACCCCACCATGGTCCACACCTGTCTTTAACTATCGACTGGTCACGACACTTAAATCAATACTTAGGAAAAGAATATTCTTTCTAAATACTTGATTCGTTTACTTTTTTCGAGGGTGACTTTTAAGAAAGCGGAACACTGATATCGCGACGAGGCGGAGGTGGGGGCCGCAATGGCTAAATATTTTACAATATACATGTTGTGATTCGCGTTTTATCGTCGAAACGAACGGCGTTTCGAGTCGCCATTGAACAGCGCGGACGGCAAGGCAAAAAGTTGAGGACGAATTTCTTTACATCAAGGACGAAGTCAGAAGAAGAATATTAACTAATGGCGTTGAAGAGAGTGATCGATAAACGAAAGAATTTCTTCTTTGGCTCGTTCCTGGCAGTAGCGTGGGGGGGGCAGGGAAGGGACGGTGGTTTGAGACTGGCTCGGTTTATGGACACAAATTAGAACCACCCGTGTCTACCGTGCAAAATCTAATCGAACGAACACGTCACAAATTCAGAAACTATCCAACTTTCATTTTATCGTATTTTATCGTTGAGTAATGCTCGCTGAAGAGCAACGAAATTGGAAGCCGCAATCTCTGATTCCGATCAGCATCGTAGACACAGGCGGAATAACTATATGGTATAAATATAATAATAGCGACAATTAACCAATCAATTGACAGTCAATGAACGATCGATAAATTCTCTTTAGGTACTCATATGAATTCCGCGATGAAGCTGGCAGCAATATCGCAATAATAAATATACAATTGTAGTATTGTAAGATAATAATAAAGATAATAATACTAATAGTGCTAGTAACAAATTTAATTAAAAACGGTTTACGATAACCGTACATTGTCACGTACACATGCAGGATATACTTTGTATTGTATAAAAATTTCACCATGAATCAGCGAAATAAATATTAGTCTCATAAAAGCGTAGATTCGCCAAAAGTAAAGTGTATCTAATATATGTATAATAAATATACAAATAGAAAATTAGTTTAGTAATATCTTTCAGCAAGAATATTTTATACGAAATTATCTTTTAAATATCCTGCATAATGTTTATGAAAGCCTAATTAATTAAATCTGTTAGTAAATTTCGCAGACGTTGGATGCGTATAAAATTATTTTTAAGTCATTCTTATTTGTGGTGTACAAATGAACGTCGCACGCCGTTTCACACTCTCCATTTTCTTTCTCTTCATGTACTCGTCTTCGTGACATTCTGCATCGACAGAACGAAATGAAAAAAAGTATATGCAGAGAGGAACAGTGAAATTAACTCGATGATAACAAGAAATGTACAAAACAACGGGCGCATCGGGTGTCAAAGACGGAAGTAGAAAGTGGCGTATATCCGTGAACGATATACAGCCATTTCCGATTACAATCGATGATTGATGCTTTTTTTTTTTGCACACTTTTTTACTAGCTGCACCAAATCTTACAAAACGAGATCGGTTAAAATTATGCATTGGTCGATATTAAAAGCAATAGCTACTGGTATTAATAAAACAAATTGTTAAAATAGATATAAATAGAAGTATAAATTAATAACGACTAAAAATACATTAATAAATCTACGTTGAATGCCGTATTAGCGTTAATAACTATAAATATGTAAAGAAGGCATCCTTGGTCTGTTTGAATGTGGCGCGATCTCCATAGGTGGCGCTAGTAAATGCGACATTTATTTGAAAGAGCGATTAGTGTACAAGAAGGGTGTGAATAAGAACATTGAATCTTGTTTCTTTGTTTTTACAGGTAGAATTGACTGTCAATTCATTAAGTAGTCATATTGCATTGCGTTGAATTTAATAAAAGTCTTTGTTTTTACAGAGAAACACTTCTACTTATTTTACACCACCAACCTACCGATAAATAATACATTATAAAACAACAATCAATGTTCTTATTCGCACCCTTCTTGTACACTAATCACTCTTTCAAATAAATGTCGCATTTACCCTCGACTCGTCACTCTAGCGCCACGTACGGAGATCGCGACATACTACTCCACGCGCCACATTCAAACAGACTAAGGATACCTTCCTTACAAATATAATAAAAAGCTGCCAAAAATTTAATAAAATTCAATTAAAGCCTATTTAGGCCAAGTTACGCGATAATGAAAAATTCTATCTCGACTGAAAAAGTAGTTGAAATGCCATGTACCAAAAAAAACAAAACTGAAAAACGTGCCTGAATAAAAAATAGGAATATTTGTAGACGATGAAACAATATATATGTTTTTTTTTTTTTGCTTTTTTTCGTTATCAGACGATGTTATTCATCTTTGAGAAACTACTTGGAGAATGGGTCCCTAAGTTCTGTTACTTCTGCTACTCTGTACTCGTCAAATCTACACGTCTACGGTGTTCCATTCTACTTTGATTATAAACGCTACTGTCGAGCACAATAATATTGTCCCTATGGTATGCAATGTAAAATTCTTATTTCTCATGTTCGGCTACCTAAAACCAGTATACGTTCATTTAATCATGCATCCTCGTTGATGCAAAAAACTTGCATCGATCTTATACAATTATTATAACCATACGAGCCAACCATGCAGAATATTCTCTATGTGGTTACAATGATACTGGACATCGTACTGAAAAGTGTAAATCCTCGCTACGAAAGGATATGACTGTTAAAACGTAGAAATAAACACATATACAATTAACGTATCTTTCTTAACAAGAAAGAGTAATTGAACAGAATAATAGAATTATTTAAATAATCCCGTGTAAATAAATCTTTGAGCACAGAATGTTTCTTTTTTCTCGCTGTAATCCCGTGTTGTCAACTGCTCGAAATAAAAAATCTTACAAACGGAAAACGCATTCTATGCTTGTCAGGCATCTTTACTAACAACATTGGTAACAGAGAAGGCAGAGCTTTCTAAAAAAACCTCTACGACATGGAGCAACATCGACGCAAGAAAATATGAACATTTTAATGATAGAAAATGTTTCATTTTCCCAACGAGGACAACGTCTGTCTTTCTTCGTACGAAACTGCTGGTTGTCTTGTCCGAATTTTGTAAAAATATCCAGTTCGATCCGCTTTCTATTCTACGTTACGAATATACCCGACAAAAAGAATTTCAAACAAACACGCGTAACGCTAGATCGTTCTCTAAGTGTTTTCTAATCGCGTAGTTTGACAACGAGCAGTAAAAAATATTGAAAAGTTCAAAATCCTCGTTTTTCTCAGAATATCTTGCTCCACATCTTAATCATTTTCTAGAAGAAATCTCTGCCTAAATGAGAACGGTTCGTCTGTTGGGACAATCGCACTCTACCTCGTCCGTTCGCGCTGGTGGCGTGTCTTCGGGTGTTCCGTAACTCTCGATCGACTTCCAGTTCCTCCAGTTTCATCGTCAGGCCGAGCTTTTGTTGCACGGCGAGCCGCAGAAGCTGATTCAACGTTTTCCTGTCGTCTTCCGCTACCGCTAGCTGACGTTGGAGTTCATCGACTTGAGTTACGTATTCTTCGCAGCGTGCGGCGAACATCGCACGCAGACCTGAGAAGTGTTGTTAGCAGGTATTAACACCGAATACAAATAGGCACGTAACACGGAACCGTTAACATTGTAAAGTAACAATTATATTAGTTGCGTGAAAGAGAAACATTTACGAAAAATTTACACGAGAAACCATATAGAAATTAGTGCAAGTTCCATAGCTAACTGGTTTTATTTTTCTCTATTACTAGCAACAAAGATCATAGTGATTGATGACACAATGAACAGTTAATTCTTTTTGCTACAAAACGAAGCAATATCGTTGATAACAAACTCTCAATGCAACTGCGAAATCGATTGTAGCGCAACCCATTAAAAGCAATAAAATGTACATAAATGCTAATAATAATTGTTAATTTTACATTAATATGTTAGTGCAACGATGTTAGCGAAACAAAATAAAAAAAATATATAAATTAATAATAAATTCGTAGAATATAATACAGACTTTACCGAATCTCGAATATCGCTGGTGTAAAAATATAGAAAATAAGAGTTAACTTACTCGAGAATGTTGCAGCATTTTCTTTCAACATTCGAAGCTCGTTCCTCAGTTTCAACATGGTTTCGTTGACGATACTCTTCTCGTTTTCGTATTTGCTCTTTAAGTTTGTGAGTGCCACTTCCGCTGTATTCTTATTCGACTTCAATACTGTTCTCAAAGTAGCGATTTGCTCGCGTTTAGCCGACAGCAGAGCCTTTAACTTGATTACTTGTTCCTGTAAGTCGGTTATCTCTACCTTGTTGTCGTTTACAGATCCTATTGCAATTTACAATAAAAAAGAATATTTAATATATTACAGAGAGACGAAGCAAGCAGAATTCGTTCGACTCACCTTCGCAAACGTTACAAACGTTCGATTGTATTCCCTTCATCTTTGAAAGTCCAATTGTATGCTCTACAGCGATTCGAAGATGTTTTATCTGATCCATTGCAGTTTCTATATGCTTCGCAATTTCTTTCGCTTTGCTCAAACTTTCTAAATCCTTAATCTGAATGTCCGTTTTGAACGAAGTTCTACACCACTCTATCTTTCCATTTTCTTCTTCCTTTTCGGGAACGATCTTTTCGTGATCGAGGACCACCCGCGAAGGAATTTCTCCGTTCACCGTACAAACGTGATGATAAAGCTGAGCGAGCTCGTCGGAGATATTCTGCAAGTCGTTTTGAGCAGAGTCGAGAAAACCGCCAGCTTCCACAGCGAGTTTCGAGAGAGTAGCAATATCGGATTCAAGTTGTACGCTTCTTTGTTCCGTATCTAAAAGCTGAAATATAATAGATCATGTTTATACCGTTAAATTATTATTACACGTTGATCTTATTCGTTATAAAGTTACTATGTTTGTCACTTGTTGCATATTCATTGGAAATGTACGTTTAAAACTTTCATTTTAAAGGCAGATTTTTTTGTATTTTAGGAAAACATTACTTGACAGCTGAAGTAACTTTGCAAGACTGTACAAGATAATATATAGAATATCTGTTTGAACATCGTGCAAACAGGCTCTGTGAGTCTGACTCATGCTACGTTAGATGCAAGTGAAACAAGTAGAAAGACAGTATCCACTGAGTTTTTTGTTCCTAAGCACATTCTATTTTAAAGCCACAGTGCATAGCGATCGAGATCCGTACGTTTGTTTGAGCATTTGATAACATTCATATAGGCACTGTTGTATCAAACAACCCGTTTGTGAAAATAACGAGTAATATTTTCACAAAGGAGTTCACGATTTCGGAAACGATGATGTATTCGTCAGTAGCTGTAGCAACATGTATAGTTAAGAATTTGAAAATATCAATAAAGCAATACAAGATGGGTTGTTAGGACACTAAAAAGCAATCTGTACGGATCATTAAAGGAGCCAAAAGACAAATGGTTATTAAATAATTGGTAAATACGTCAAAGGGACCACACGTTCCAACCTTTTCTCGAAGGCTCTTCTCTGACTCGGGGATCTGAAACGCCATAATTTCTATTCAAAGTCTAAATTTTGTTAATTGTCATTGTGCCAGAAGAATCACAGTTTATTATACTCTTGTTACCTCCACGTATTAAGCAAAATTGCCAGTGGAAACTTAATGAGTAAACAACTTACATTTCTGTTCTTCGTCATATTTGCCGCGATAATGCTGTTTATAAATTTATGGAATAAATAGCCTTGCGTGAAAATTAAAAGAAAAGCTATATACCTTATTTCGGAGATTTGTTAACTCTGTTCGTAATTGCTGCGTCGAATCGGATATGGTTAAGCCATTTTCTAGTTCGGCCAAGTCCTTTTGAAGTTGATTTACTTCGCGCGCGGACATGGTACTCCATTGTCGATACTGCATAATAGCCTGGAATAAAACATGAAATGATTGCTAAATATTTAAAACTGTTTGGAAATGTTTTCCATGCATACTTGGTTCAACTTATCCAATGTTGTCTCGTCGGTTTGCTTTTCGGGCAACTTGGAATGAAGGTGATGTAACGATTGCACATGGGCTGCTAATTGTACTATACGCGCAACAAAAGACTGCAATTCGTTTTGACTTTTTTCAACCGCGTATTGCGATTCCCGTAAATTTTGCGTGAGGTGAGCCTTTTCAGACTCTGCTAGCTCCAACTGTTTCTCCAGCTTCTTCAATTCGTTCAGATGGATTTCAGAAAACAAATCGACTTGCTTGTCGGTAGCCGAGGTGCCCGGTTCTTGGGTTTTTAAATCTGCTTCGATTCTACGTAATGCCGGGGAATCGTCTTCCCCGTCGCTACATATTGTTTGATCCTCCGTAATTCCTCTGATCGAAAGTGCAAGATTGCTAAGATTATAAATCGACTCGCTATTAATTTTTTGATCAAGCTCCTTCTTAAGAGCATATTTTGCTTCGCGTTCAGCCTGCAAAGACTCGAGCGCCTCTTCCATTTGCTTCTCAGCAATGTGTTTTAAATTCGCTAATTCTTCCACTTGGCTATTCAGAAGTTCCACCTCTTCTGTTAGTCTTCTTATTTCGTGTTTGGCACCTTCGAATTCCACTTGACTGGATCGCAAACCGGACACCTGTTTTTGCAACGAGATATTTTCGTCTTCCAGTTCCGAGTAATCTTGAAGAAGCCGAGCCTCGCGAAATCTACATTCGCGTAACATAGTATGTAACGATTTTCTTTCTGTCTCTGCTTGCTGATGATCCTTTCCAACTTCTTCTCGTTCTTGGAGCGCGTGATCACGTTCCGCTTGCACACGCTCCAATTCATGACGCAACTAAAAAAAAGAAGATTTATAATTAAGAACTACATAAGTGCACAATTGTTATCATTTTTACATGTCCTTTCAATAATAAAACACGTACTTGCTTCGTTTCATTTTCTAATTCAATAATTTGCGTTTGGAGAGATGTTTCTCGCGCAGCACTTTCATGTAGGAGACTCTCTTCTTGCTCTATACCGCTTTTTGTAGTCAGTTTTGTAGTTGTCTGAAACTTTGCTAAAGCCTACAAAAATAAAAATTTTTTTTTTTAATACTATTTAAAAACTATTGACTTTCTTCCATCAGAGAAATCAGATAACTCTTGCACTTATCATTAACAAAACTTCTTTGGCATTATAAGTATATTTAACGGTGTTATTGGAGCACGGTAAGATTACTATACTAATAAATACGCTCCTCTTCGCGATAAGTATGCGGCGGAGAAACTAAAAACTTCAAAATGAAATCAACGTTCGAAGAGAAACTTCATAGAAACTAAAATTAAAGTAATTTACATGCATCGAAGTACGTAAAGAAAGTCGAGTTAACCTCTTGCGTGATTTCCAATTCATGTTTCGTGTTTTCGTAGAGGGCTTCGAGTTTGGTGCATCTTTTGTTTAGGATCTTTTTCTCCTCGAGCAAAGCAAGACCGTATTCGGCGGATTGTAACCGTTCCGTGGATGCTAAATCTAATTCCCGTGAAAGCCTCTCGATCTCGATCCGTAGGTTTTCTATCGTACTACCGTCCGTCGTGGCCATGTCTGTGCGCACCGTCCAATATCACTTCGCTCCTTTTCCCGTCGAATGCTTCCTCGTCGTTACCGCAAATATATCGAAACATCGGCGAACGTAATATATTTCGAACGCAAACGCATCATGCGACAAATTCGTGACGCGATTTCCTTAGCGTATGCCCACTTTTCAAAGTCTTACATCTTCCGAGAATTCACGGCCGTTTGACAGACGTGAGATTAAACTGAAAGGGCACGGGCAAAATCAGACGAACCGGATGGATACATATTCTTTCGCATGTTCCGTGTTCCTAGTTTCGTTCCGTTATTCCATCGTTCCGTTCCAACATATCATATATATATATACATATATACTTGCATACATATATGTATGTAGTAGTTGCATATTACTACTTAATATACTTTTCACGTTGTTATATACGATAACGTATTTATGTTAATATAATACCGACATCGAGATATTAAAGTTAAACAGAAAAAACGTACTTTGACCTTTAATTTCCACAACGTAATTTTACACACGAACGTCGTGTTATCTAAAGACGAAAAAACCTGACTGTCCGTTCACAAGCAGGCATTTTGTCGTAGATTATGATATCATGCTTTTTAAATGGCAGAAAAATTACTTTTAGCACAGGCGATACTCTGTTTTTTGTACATATATTAGCCTGGCATAAATGATTAAGTTAATATACGAGGCTTGTTGCTCACACAGTCAAGCCAGCCAGAGATGGTAAATTTCTGTTTCTTATTGGGCCCATAAAAGCTTATTTGTATAATTACCCCATCATAAAAATGCGCACATTACAAATTAGTCTATAGGGAGAAGTTTTATTCATTTATGGTTGAATTAAGATCTGGCTGGCTGGCCATGCGAATAACCTGAGACACGAGGTTCCAAATTGAGCTCGTGAAATGCTCGAGCCTTTTGTGTAAAACGTTTATGCATACGGTTCCTCCGGTTTGCTATTATTTCATGATAGTTGTAGATTTCAACAATAAAGAAACGAGAAACGACCGCTCGACAACCCTCATCGGTTCATACCTACGAGTTCCCACGAATAAACACCGTATAATACTAATTTGTTTCGTTTTATTAAAAATTATAAAATATGTTATGTTATATAAATTTTTAAACTTAAACACTAAAAATCTCGATTAATGTTTTCGTCTAAAAAGAACCAACATCCACAATTATTTACTGAAGCTATGATATAAACACAATAGGAATCATTGTATAGGTAGAATAACTCAAGTTTTATCGAATTGCTTGTTATCATTTGTAAAAAAAACGTAAATATTACAGCATACGCACCTATGAGTAAACACAAAAACGAAATGTTCGATTAAAAATAAACACCACATAATAGTATACGTACAAAAGGATTAACAACTAAAAGGGAAAGCATACAGTTACATTTTATTAATAATCGATCTACTTTTCCAACTGAAATATAAATAATACAGATGAAGTATCTTATATCGTACACCTCCTTATTCGTAGATGCCAGTAATAGTGGGGAAACAGAAAAAAAAAAAAACAAGACCTCGTCTTTGCCTCTCCGTACACATTCTATTTCAAAAATTCAGTTTAAAAACATAACTTCAAATACTCCGCAATCCTTTATTACTTTGTAGCTTATTTTTTTTCCTCTTCATCCTCTTCATCTTCTTCCTTTAAGTATTAATAGATTAATATAAGTCGAGCTGTGATCGGTCATGCACCGATCGAATTAGTTCATACACTGTAACAGTCGTATTCTTTACAATATTCGTACGTAAGTCTTGTAGCAGAGACAAAAGCGCAGGTGCCCTATCGCACTCATTTTTTTATGCTTATCTGAACCTCCGGTGCCACCAATGAACCTCACACCTAAATCGTATATTTCCAAGTATGTTTTCCCCTCGGATATCCTACATAGTAAGACATCGTTTTTACACGATATATCATTTATCCGTGTATATGCATGTTCAAACTGTACAACATATCGGTAAAAGAAACAAAGGAAAATGTTTACACGGATTCTCGATCTTTTCTTTAAATTACGCAATCCAATGAGAGCACCAAAGGTTACGGTCCATTAGCGAAATACAATTTTTGATCCTCCAAATCTCGTCAGACGCACTAGCGCACTGATTGCTACTACCAAAACCATGTATGAGATCGGTTTAAGTCCCGAACAGTTGTGTATAAAATTGTTGCAGGACACCCTTTTACTACACAATACAACGCACAAAGGCGTTCAGTTCCACCGAGTCAGGCACGCCTGGCTTCTGAACAGTAATACACATTGTCGCTGCTGGCAAAAGTATCGATATACCGTGTACAAGTCGTGCATGTGAACATCCATAAACGATTGCATTCTAATGAATGGTTTTAAAAAGAAAAACAAATACTTGGAAATGTAACTACCACATGGATCGACACATACATAACGTGTTCACGCTGAATCTACCTAGAATGGGATAGGTGATCTTCGAACCATCTTCTCGTTAATTCAAATCAAATCACTCGTTCGTTCGAACGAGTGACAAAGTATCAGGAAATTCGATTAATTTATACTCCAACACTGCTCGTATTTATAAACACGTTGTCACCATCAAATTAGTTGCACTTTATTTCTGCTTTCTATTAGGACTTATTCGTTTTCTCTCTTCATTTTTAGAAAAAACCTTCCGTAACTTTATATTTGTAGTAAACCTAATAATCCCCTAGCAACGTTCGAAGAATTGAAAACTTTTTAATTCACAACATTTAAATTTTGTTGGCGTTTCATGATTTTCCTCAGTAGTCGTTCGACAAAAAAATGCTAGACAAATTGTATCTAAAAATTTTTCGTTCTACAACTTATAAAAAAGATTAATGCAGTACTTTATACATGAAAAATATAATCTTTCTTTTTTTCTGTGATGTATAAATAAAAGAATAATTGGGATTAGTCACCAGCAACGACCAGAGTATATCTAGCTTTTTACAGTACAAAATACAGCTCCTGCACATACGTATGCATATATGTATACACATATGCGCATATATATATATACATATACCTAGTAACGAAATATTTCACCATATGTAAGGATATAGTAAGGTAAAATGCAACTACATTCTTTGAAATTCGTAACAATCACTGACAATATGAACAATGGCGACTCTCAGTATAACAATTATGATTTTACGTACAAAATGTGCAAACTTGTATAGACCTCTGTGTTTATATGTATATATACATATATACGCTGCGATGACGATCATACCAGTCCTTGCATTCATTTTCACTTAAAGAATCTGACATACAAAGCATACATATTTTGTTCTAGTTTATCAGAATTTAAAATAATAATCTCAAGTATAACTGTATATAAACTCGTAAACACTGATAATCCTACAATTGTGCAGTTCTTGTTGACATCTGAAACTGGGTTTGTCATGAAATAATGGTTCAACGATCCTCATTACATCCTTACACATTAAAAATTGGCGTTACTAAACTTTATTTATATGTATTCAGGGCCGGCATGTTCATTTCCTTTCCCATTAATTCTGAAATTTTTTTTTTGTCTCGAGTTGCTAGAGAGTTCGAGAGGGAGGACCGGATACAAGATGCGTGGATGTGAGAAAGGAACATAAGTTTTACCTGTCTCCATTTTTCATAGTCATTGTATCTCTCTCTCGTGAAAAATGTAACTGTCCTTTCGATTCAATCGTCTTTCCTAATTTAAAGTATGAACGTTCAACAAGTGTAATATTATTGCCAGTCGGACTGACAAAATACGTCATAAAATGTTTACTTGGACAAATTTTTTTTATAAAGCATATTAAGAATCCATACATCTTGCATCACAAAAACAATGCGCGTACGAGATAGTTTGAAGGTCAAGGGACAGAGGATTCATGTCTCTACTCTAATTCAATCGAATGTTTATAATATTATTACATCGTATAGTGTGTGTATTCATGTAATGCTTGGATGTGTCCTATGTGTAAATGTACTTTGTGCGCGCGCGCGCATGTATGGTGTAGTGTAACAGCAATAAAAACAAAGACATCATAAGAAAAAACCCTTGCGAAGAGAACAACGATGTATAGAGGGGAAGGAAATTAGGAATAAAATGGGTTCCGGGAGTTGGGCATGGAGAGATAGAAATTCGAACGACTATGACAAAACGCGTTTTTAGCGATTATACGCATCAACGAGACATACGTTCGCACATCCCTACCTAGCTACAATCCCCGGTAGTAGCGCGCGCGACGGTAAACGGCTTATCGTTAAGCGAGCGGCACGGATTCCAGTCATATCCTACTTCCTCTCATCCTGATCACATTCACGGCTTATGTGACCAGTCTTGCCACAGATGTAGCATGTCTTTCCTCCAGCCTCGGTACAGTTGCGAGCGATATGACCTGTCTTATTACAATTGTAGCAACTTTGCATCGCGAAACGTCCAGAATCATTACCGCCTTCTGGGCAGCTGCGTGCAATATGACCAGTCTTGTTGCAGTTGTAACAGCTCATCTCTGGACCCTGTTAAAATCATTTTCAATTATGATACAGAACTTTATTATTTCTATTATACGTCATACATTGCTTGTATAGAACAATCATATTAGTAATTTCTAATGACCTGTTGGCAGTCCTTTGCGATGTGCCCAACACCGTTACAGCGATAGCAAAGATCTTGATCCTCTTTACATTCACGTGCAAAATGTCCAAATTGGTTGCACTTGTAGCATTTGTCTCTACCGCGTGGGAAACCACCTTCTCGGTCACGTCCACGGTCGCTTCTACCACCTCCTCCACCACCTTGTGGACACTCCCGTGCGTAATGACCCATCCGGTTACATTTGTAACAAGCGCTCGAACTCATTTTTTATAAATCTGCATAAAACAACGATTAATCATCCTTTGATGTATATTTATCAATATGTATGCAGGCGTTTGTCTATATGAATCTTTGTTCCGTATCAATAATGGTTTGAAATCGACTTGAATTTTAAATTAAATTTGAAAATATTACAGATTAAATTAGATTCATTCTGTAACTAAGATGTAGTGCAAAAATGAAACAATATATAAAAAAAGTTTAACTAATTTTTTTAATTGTAAGAAATATAAAATTAATGCACAGCATCGAATAAATTGTTAAAATATTTTTAACAACTTTTCAAATTTCAAATTATCGAGGATGCTCGATATAGAATGGGAGAAAATTTGATGATGCAAAAGTATATGTGGTTAAACAATACATACGTACGTCCGGCAATATTACTCGGAATGAAGCATAGAATGAAGTATGAAAAATAAAGTATAGGAAACTATAAGAGCACGGAACTACAAGTTCCCATGGCTAGGGAAACGAAGAAAAAATATTTCCCTTTTCCTTTTACCGTCGAAAACCATAAAAATCATTATATATACGTAATACGAGGGGGAAATATTCAAAGAAATATAAATTACTTTAAATAAGAGCATAAAATGGCATCGTGCATCCATCCATATTCGTCAAGTACATAAAATACACGTGTCGTGGTAGGCGTCGTGCACAAGGACGTAGCTTCGGTTTCAAGATTTCGATAACGCAGGAATATTCTGCGGGAGAATTAATATCCGATGTTCGACCATTTTTACGTAAAACTCTCAGAAATTGCCGTCCATCGTACAACGTGGCTCTATCGCCCCCACTTTGCAGCGATGGTACGCAAGTACGCCACGGCGCGAAGATGGCATCCAAGACTGACGCCGTACTGCGCTTTTTTTGCCTCGCCAAAGAAAAGATCGGCCGAGGGCGAGGTACACATGCACGGGTCAACGGAACGAAGCGAACCAAACGACGAAAACGAATTTTCTCTACGAAATCGGGAAATGAAATAAAATATTCCTTTGCTACGGGACGAAAAATTCACTCGGCAAAGTCTAGGACCACGTGTGGAATTGCACAGAAAGAACCGCGGACTCGGAATCACGACGGCGTATAGCATCATTCTTTACTGGCGAGATAGCGACTTACCTCCGGTGCCTGATGTATATGCACGATGAATCCTCCTTTCCTTGGGTTTCGCCGACGCGTCGGGGACAATGGGTCCGCGGGAAGTAGTGTTTTCCTGGGAAAACTCGAACCGATACTCAGCCGGATGACTGCGGCGACCATCGACTACAAGACGAAAGACCGACCAATCGTCGCTACGTTGCCCGCCAAACTCCCGTTGCAAATGTGGTGACGATATTTTAGAAACTCGCCACCAGGGGGCTATGAACAGTGGCCAATTCTCACAAATTCTTTAATAGTATCGAATTCCTTTAATTAAAAAAAATCCTTTTACATCCATACGCCCCTGCGTCTAAAGTAGAATCTGCTAGATAAACTCTACTAACGAATCCAACTATTTATAGCAAACCTCGAACGAAACCCAACTTTTTTTCACCTGTTCCTTTCCACTCTACTCCAAACACTAACTTCAACCGCTACACATCGACGAACGCCACTCTTCCTATTGCAACTAGGTATGGGTGAACAACTTAAATCTCAAACCGACAACTTCCTTTAGTGAAATTGTCTTCACGTCTACCAACCTAACAATCGTATCAACTGTTAATTAAAATACAATAATTCTATTAAAAATTAATTATCATCGAAATTAAATATCCTCGAAACCACGTTATTAGATTTAATTTCCAATAATATTTTGTGAAATTTGCTGCTCAAATTTTATTGGAAACTATTAAACCATAAATCACAATAGTATGCATTTTTATTACATGCAACACGCATGTAAATATATTGTTTTCAAGAACGAATGCGACTTATATTTTATATACATTATTATACGACGATACATCCGTCACTAATTGGAAACTTCATTTATAAATTCCAAATATGTATTGCATATAGGTACGTGCATTTACGAATAAGAAAGTACTGCCACGATTAAAGATTTTAATAATAGTATCTAAAAATTTTAATGCAACCAATATTTTTTATACAATGAATCATATATTTTCTACATTTTTTAATAGTATAGATAAATAGATAAATTTGTATTAATATTAAAAGTAATTCATTTAATTCAAGGTCATTGACCTTAAGTGATAAACTTGTTATCCAGGGCATCGTACGTATCTATTGGAACTCAATTTAAAAATTAATTGAATAATAAAATATTATGATAAGAACAGGGTATATGTGTAATATCTATAATTGTCGAAAATACTTGAAAATTGTAAAAGAATGGCTGTAATGATGTTTATTGCAACAATTTATTAATCTTTTTAAATTGGCTGTAACATTGTAGGACAGTATAGTCAATTATTGGTATTATTATTAGTGTTTGTACTATACTAAATGTATGATAAAAAGTATTCTTTGTATTCTCCAAAGTTGTTAAAAGAATATAAATATAACCTACACCTTCTCTCTTTTTCCTGTAAAACTGAAATCATAACACTTGAAGTTAGTAACATCTATCTACTTATATTTATATGTACGAAGGAAGGCATTGGTGAAACAACATTGGTGACTCCCCATTGGTCAAATATGACGTCTTCGGTATCACTTCACCAATCGAAAACCTAAAGCCATATATGCACCGTAACTTTGCGACAGTTCAATGTGTCCCATTTTACATATATATAAGTATTGATAAACAGTTGCATTCGTACGAGTACGAAAAGAATGCACTAACCTGCAATACCTGCAAAAAAAAATAAGAATTACTCACGTTATATTTATACGTGTTTAGAAACGTTTTTGTAACATTGAGAGAAGGCAAAATTAAACTATTTCAGATCTCTAGGTATTATAAAATCTATGTTTCAAACATACCTGTAATCTTTTAAAAAACTGAGGTTGAATATAATGTTTTAATATCAACATATAAAAGTTCGATATTATGTCATTATATGATGATTTTGATAAACACAGAACGTCTGAGAAGGTGGCCGGCTGGTCATCTAGTATTAAGTTATTACAGTCTCAATTACAATTAAAGAAAGCAGCTACTACACAGGTAAACTATTTATTTTAATAGTGATCAAATTCTAACAACATTTACAATTCTATTGTGTGTTTAGCCAAAACGTGAACAATATAGAAAAGCCACAGCTGTATTGGCACCTGTGATAGATTTGAAATCAAAAGCAAATCGAAATGTAGATAGGGAAGATGATACACCACATAATAATCCACTCTCTACTGGCACTGTCAGCAGTATTGGAGTTGGTGGTGAATTTGATTGGAATGTAATAAATGAGTATGATCCTATGTGGCCTAATGAATATGACAAAGTTGTGAAAGAATTAAGAGACTTGCGCGATAGAGAACATGATCAAGAAACTGAAATGCGTAAAAGAAGACGAGATAGTTCACGTTTTGAAGATGCACAGGTAACATAATTATATTAGCTTTATATCTGTAAAACACTGAAGATTATATTTATAATTTAACATGCCTGTGTATTGTGTCCAAATAAAAGCACTTTATATATATGTTTTTAAATAAAGTAATGTAAATATTTGGTTTAGGTTTCAACTGGAAATAACACAATGATACCACCTGAAAGGGATGAAGAAAGAACTCCAACATCAAGAGGTATTGCTGGTGGAGCAGCTATAGCACCACCACCTTCTTTACAAGAGTCATCCGATCTTCCACCCCCAGCACCGAAACAACCAACTAACATGGGATATGCGACGTCGTCCGTGGCGGCCAAAATAATGGCCAAATATGGTTTTAAAGAGGGACAAGGGCTTGGTAAAAAAGAACAAGGAATGTCTGTTGCTTTGCAAGTAGAGAAAACTAGTAAACGAGGTGGAAGGATTGTTGGGGAAAGAGAGCAACTCATGCCACCGCCACCGCCTATCGCTGTATCGCCGCCTCCATCGCAATTAGGTTCTCTGTCGCAACCTACCGAGGAACCTAGCATCACAGAAATAATGAAATGTCCGAGCAAGGTAATATCGAAAAGAATTAAAAATAATATTTATTTCCGATTATTACGATTAAGTACTTATTTTCGATCAGGTTGTGTTGTTGCGCAATATGGTTGGACCCGGAGAAGTAGACGAGGATCTCGAGCCTGAAGTTAAAGACGAATGTAACACAAAATATGGCGATGTAGCGCGTGTTATTATTCATGAAGTAACGGAAGCTGCTGCAGAAGAGGCTGTTAGGATCTTTGTAGAATTCAAAAGAATAGAAAGTGCTATTAAAGCTGTTGTTGATTTAAACGGACGATTTTTTGGTGGAAGACAAGTTAAAGCAGGTTTTTATTCCAGTGAGAAACTTGATAGTTTACAATTAATGGACTAATTTCTTCAAAAATTCAATAAAGGAATCGTTCCAAATTAATGTGTCGACTATTATGCACACGAATATACAACGCGTTCGGCGGTGCAGTTTAAGGGGAATATGATGCTGTGAAAAGGCTTCATCCGTCCAGCATACTTCCCCTTATTATGCCCATAGAACGGTTGGTTGCATATATGGCCTGTCGACCACGTAAAAGAACTGAACCTTCGGATACATCCATACGATGAGTCACGCGAATCCCTATAAAATACAAACAATGCTCTTTCATTAGTTTCATGCAACTGTATGAGAACGAGGAGCGTGTACATATATATATATGTTGTTCGATTTAAATGATACAAAATTGAATGAATTTTCTGACGAACTATTCAAACAAAAGTAAAACAAAATTAACATAATAGTCAACATATTAAGAAATATTTCAATTCATACTTAATTTCGGAATAAATATGGCGTAATGTAAATCGAACGTTTTTATATACGTCATACAATTTAATGGTCTTGTGAGTGTAATAAACAGATCATGTATACGATAAATATAAATAATAAATACACATAAAATAATTTCTGTACTATATAAGTAAATATAGTTAATACATAAAATAATTATATCCGAGTTTTAATACAAAACTCGATACATAGAGTACATAATCAAAAAGGAATATACTTTCTGTATTGTTACAAAGCACAATGGTAAAATGATTATGCCAACAAAAAACGGTGACGTGCCATAGTTGGAATGCAATTCATTTGTGCAAGTTTATATACGATACTTCCCTGCCTCTGTTGCAAAGTTTAAAAATTTTAATTTTCTTTTAATTTTTTATTGCTAATTAAGTTTTCGATTGCTTTGTTCAACTGAGCGCTAAATGCAACGAAACTGAAAGTTTTCATGAATCTATCTTTACCGGCATTACCAAATTCTTGTATATACGTTGGATTTTTAATTAAGTACGCAATTTTTGAAGCAAATGCATCACCGGATAAATCAACTAAAAATCCGGTGACCCCAGACACTATGGATTCTTTTGGACCACCAGAATTATGCGCGATTACTGGTTTACTCGTATACATTGCTTCGAGCGGAACAATACCAAAGTGTTCGTTCGGCGGAGTATACAGTAAAATTTTACAATGATGTAGAATCGATACTTTATCAATATCTGAAGGGGAACGAAGGAATGTTACTTTGTCAGAGACATGCAGTTCATCTGCAAGCCCTATTAATTCCAAGTAATGTTCTACATTTTCCTCTACTCTTTTATCATATCCACCAGCCATAATTAAATGTACTTTTTTGTAATCTTTATCTGTTAAATGGTTTTTAAGTTCTGCTAATGCTTCCACTGCTAATCTTAAATTTTTCTTACGTTCGTATCTATTAATTGATAAGAGTACAATGCTATCCGATGGTAATTTTTTATCAAGTACCCTTTCCAAGGATATTATTCGAGTTTTATCAAAGAAATCTGTATTAATGGAAGGATATAAAACTTCAGGTTCGATATGTAATCTCTTAAAAGTATCCCTGAATACACTACATGTGTACATGCTATTTACAAATATTTTATGTGCCATTCCAGTAGTAATTTCTTCCAAATAGTTAAGAGGTACACGGTACAATCGTTTACCAATGCCTTCTGGTCGCGAAAGTAACTGATCTGGATAATGGCAGTAATAGATTACGTGTGGAATTCGTAAACGAAGAATAGGAATACATACAGAAACTAAGTCACAAAAAACAATTTCCGGTCGATGTTCGCACAAAATGATATAAACAGCTGCATAAATCTGTGAAAAAGATGTATAAATGTGAAATTTATGCATAGTAGACTTTTTTTATATTTTAAAAATAACATTTTTACCAAAGAGGGCCGCATGTTAAAATAAATCAAATGTATAGTACGTAAGTAATAAGCTTACCATACGAATGTAAGCAAAAAGTGCGAAAAATCTACCCAAAATATGCCTGGGTAACCAGTTCCCCACAACCGTAACAGGAACTGTTCCATCCTTGGTTTCGGAGAAACAATGCTCCGTGTCGTGATGAGTTGTCACGAAATTAACTTCATAACCTTCATTTTGTAAAGCTAACGCCGCATCAACTACTAATCTTTCTGCTCCTCCGATTCCAAGATCGGGATGTAAAAACGTAATTCGTGGCATTTCTACTAGTTAAATAACAATTATAACAAGAACGTGTAAACTAACGGTATCTACGATGTTACCGGTCCATAAGGCTACAATCAGTCTGCCCGTCGATTCGTTACTTCTTAGCAACTCTGATTGAAGAGGAAGGGAATCGACGCTGTCGACGCACTCAGACAGCGTCGAGAATTCGAGCCTTCCTTTCTCGTTACTCGCAACGAATAAAAAAGCAAATTGATACATTGTTATATCAATACCTTAAATAGATTGGGGAAAATGATGAAACTTACTTTAATGTAAAAATATATTCGTAATTATATTTATTCGCGGATAATTATGACGTAAACTGATAGCGATATGTATAACGATATGTAGCGCAACTGTGCAACATAAATAGTATTCATTAGACTTAAAATCATTCGTCTATTGTATGTACACATGTAACTTATACGAGTATAATCGAAAGGAACACTAACAAAGAAATAATTTTAATTTTTTTTATACATAAAATAAAGTTTTCATACATATATTATGTCATATGTACTATTTCTAATCAGGTCGCCAGAAATTCAAATATTACAATCCTCGTCGGTATCCACGGACTTTAATTCCCGTTGTTTTAATTTCACATACTCTCCTCTTATATCAATATTTGGATCTACTGAAATCGCATCCGCGATTTCCTGTTGCGACAAAAATATATTGGTTTTAATCAACGACGCTTCGACCAAATTGCTTTTAGAAGGATTTTTCGCCAATCCTTCCGTTGATTTACCGGCTATGCCTCCGTCCATATTTTCATCCTGTTTCGAACACTTTTCACGGTCATCTTTCAAGGTAGAATTTTTTATTAAGTATTCAGTGTTTTTATCGGAAGTATCACTCGTAACTTTGGTATTTGTTTCTTCTACATTCACGTTGATCTCTCGTTTATCACGTTCATGGTTCTCCAAAATATCTCTACGGATTGCTTGAATATTTTCGTCGGACTTATTTGGTAATAAAATAGATCCGCTATCTGTTTTCGTTTGAGTTCGCATTTTCAACGCAATGGGTAAAGAATATTTCTGCTGTACTTGTTGATCCTTAGTTTTCGAATCCCTTTGTAAGTTAGAATTAATAGTATTAGCGCCGTTGTTATTATTTTTAGAGAGGATTTTATCGTCCTCATTATTATTTACCAATTCATCAGTAGCAATGAACTTTTGCAATCCATGTTTTGTCAAAGCATTTAAGATAGGGCCTTTTGGTAATTCATTCGAATTACTAGGTTTTACTTTTGCTTCCTGGATTTTTTCTTCCTCAATAAGTTTGTTATTTAACATCTTATTGTTTACATCTATCACGGCAGGATTTTTATTTTGAATACTTAAATCATTGTTTACATTTCCATTTTTAGAAAGAATATTAGATCCTTCTATAGTCTCTGACTGCTTAACTTTGTCACCAACATTTACATTTTTAGGCTGTTCATTCAAGAGTCCAGAGTTTGCATTAAAAGCTTTTTCATCGTTATTTTCTTTTATTTTATTTAAAGATTTTTCATTATCATTAACACTTAAGTTCGTAAAATTACGCTTCACTTCTAAAAGGGACATTTGATTAAGAGTTTTTAATTCTTTCTCATTTTCTTTAAGCTCTTGTGTCTCCTTCATAATCAATTGTTTCCGTTTTTCAATTTCTTGTTCTTGTTCTTTAATATCTTTTAATATTTCTTTTCGTTCTTGTATCATTTGCAGTTCTTCTTCTTTATGTTTCTCCAAAGTCTGTCTATGCTTCTCGTGTTTTTCTGCAGCTATTATATTGGCAGCTTCTGCATCAGCAGCTAGCTCTATTTCTTCTTTCTTAATTGCATCAGAGTTTATAAGATTGTCATTTATTTGTGTATCTACAAAATCTTCTTTTAATTCTCCAACATTATTTTCTTCCTTTGCTTTTGCTGTAATAGATTCTACTACCTTCTCGACTTCATTTTTCATTATAGTCTCCGATTCTTTATGAAAATCTTCATTCAATGATTTCATCTCCTCTACAGCATTTCTGATCATTGGGGGAACTGTAACAACTATATTTTCGACAGACTTTTGCGTTTCTACTGCCGATTTCTTTGCAACGATTATGCGCTCTACGGGAATCGGTGGTTCCTGACGCACGTCGTTTGCTTTTTGGTTCATTGATTTGTCAAGAATATTTAGGTCCGATATCTGATTTATTTTCTCTGAAAATTACTATTGTTATTACTACTATCGTTGTATATTTATGTACATATCATAATAATAGTAATCTGCAGAAAATATTTGATTTTAAATCAATACCTTTAATATCTGGAAGAATTTCAGGATTAATGGGAATGTTTACTATTGCATTGATGTCATTTTTATTCAGATTTAATGGTAAATTGTTAACTTGATTCAGGGGTTTATTTGTTGTTGCTAATGCTTTTGTATTACTGGATTCTTCTAATGCATATAAATTTGCATATGTGCTCAAAATCATAATGCAGATACCAGTGAATAAAATTATCTAACAAGACATAAATGAGAAAATATTAATGATAAACAAATATGGAGTGACAAAATCAATACATGTGTTTAGAAATCTCACTTGTGCCAATAATTTCTCATTAGTATGTTTGTTACTAATGGATATGAAAAATATTGCTGGAAATATTAGGCATATCATTACTCCAATTGTAGATCCCACTAACCCAAGGACAAATTCGATATTTGGTATTAAAATTCCAGCAATCAAAGAAACAGCCACAATTGCAATAGTAAGACACCTAAATCTTGTCTCTGGTAAATAACTTATAGATGGTTCATGAGTGTGTACCTGCAAGAGATTATATATTCACTAAATGATATCATTCTACTCTTATTGAATATTGCTGTAACTATACAAACCCTGCGAAATAAAAGAGAGTTCAAACTTGCACGACATGGAAAAATGACTAGAGGAAAACTAAATGCAATAGAAAACACAAATCCCATTTTGATCATTTCTGATGATAAGCTAGGTTCAAAGCTCATTAGTATATTGCCTACAAATTCAATAATAGATTAGTAGAATTCACAAGAACAATATGAGTTTGGGACATTAGAAATACCTGTAAAAGGTTGTGTGCAAAATGCAATGTAACCAAAAAATCCAACACACAGATATACGACAGTACATATATTTAATGCACCTCGTACCACATCATTCATTTTTTCTAATGACACATTAGGAATTGTTTCATATATTTCAAACAATTGTGTTTGACAAAATAAAGCCATAGAAAAGATAGGTATACACTGTAATATACCAGATGATCTCCAGTAATATACATGTTCATGCCAATCCCCAGAAAAAATGTGTTGTATAGATTCTGTCATTATCTAATAACAAAGAAGAAAGTATTGCAACTAACATAAATTACATTTACAGTGGTGCCCACTTAAGTGACCACGCGGTCATTTATGTGGGCATGGTTGCTTCTCAGAATCGAAGAGAGATAAGGAAAGAGGGATAAGAGCGAGTGAGATACAATAGCGGCATCCGAAACCATATATGTATACAATGTATCACGGACATTTAAGTGGGCAAAAATGCGGTCACTTAAGTGGGCACTGCTGTAATCGTTTAAATGTTTGTATTCAAAGTAAAACAAATTATTTACCTTTAATACAAGACAAACGTAAAAGATAATCGTCGCTGTACAAAGACTAGATAAGCTGTCAATGTTTCGTAGCAATCCCAATGGTAAAACTATAAAAATGCTTGTCGTTATGAGCAAACTAGTTCTGATATCCTCTGGATTTTTATCTACCACTTTCCCTACAATTTGTGGTCCCACATCGCCCATAACAACAAAAAATGCAATACACGTTCCCACAAGAAAACCAATGATGAACAGTTCCACTAAGAATTTTCCCATATGACCAAACGCATGAAAAGCCAAAAGCTCGAAATTTCGTCTTCTTGACATTACAGCCGACTTGACAAGAAAGTGACAAGCAAGTCGAGACAAAACGCTACTTACTAATAAAACCAAAGTAGCCAATATGATGCCACATTGCTTGAAACAAAATGGCATTGCAAGAACACTTACTCCGATAATGCTGTTTGCAAGTGTCATAACATGCGATAATTGAGAGATCATTTTAACAGATTGTATAAATCTAAACGTTTTGCTTTAATTTATACTGACGATATTTCCATCAACATCAAACTTTTGGTATCTCTATGATGTTTTGATATCTAGCGGCCGTTAAATTTTCTTTTTCCGATTAATTTTCTCAACTAAGTAGTAGCAATATTATGCTTTTTTTAATAGAATCCTTAGGACTTCATACATACATAGGTAACAGTCATTCGTGCATTGTTTTCATATCCTAAGGCATAAATTTTCCCAACTATGAGGTTAGAACTGGAATTTCGTTAAACAGTATCGTATGTCCGGTAATACCACATATAAAACGAACAGTAGGAGTCGTTATCATATTGGACGTATCGAATTTGCACATCGAATGTAAAACTTTTGATGAAACACACTTATCGCGAGCCAAATCGTGAAAGACCTATGAACGATCCGTCGGCTTCCTAATACTGCCACCATTTTGATATGACAGAAAACATATGTATACCATTACTCCACGTGGCGAAAAAGTAAATTCACCAAATACACGCGGTAAATTTCTTTATTTTTTATTATAAATATTTAAAAACATTCGTGTTATTCATGTCTGGACATAAATATATATATATTTATATATGTATATCGTACTTGATCTATCTCAAACCGACTTAGATATACGCAATGTTATATCGAATTTGTCATTGTGTTGTGGTGGATAATTAATTACAAGTAGTGGTAGGTACTTAATTACAACTAGATAGGTTGACATATATTTCTCTTTCGATCAATTGTCTGTCGTCGTGCAACTAGTCGAGTTTAATCTGTTTCTGAATTATTTTCGAGGCGCAAAAAGTTAAATTTTTATGTACACAAAATTATTAATGTATTTTTAACTCTCGCACGAACGTCCAAAGAACTGCAACTGGAGGGTAACAATTTTATAGATGCATCTGTAAAACGCTTTTCTTTTTTTTTTTTCCCTAAACGAGAGTGCTTTCGCAACCTCAGTGTTACAGATATAAATCGACCGCATCGCGTACGTAAATTTTGAACTCTTATAATTATTTTTGCTTAATTTATGATTAAGATTCTACATCTATGTTTGAATTCAATACGTTCATTGACTGTCCTAATTTCTCCATACTTTCTTCTTCGCTGATCATTCAATTTCTTTCATATAAAATAAAATACTTTACATATCAAAACGAATATCGTTATTGTTATTGTATAGTATTATTGCATGTAGGACTTCATTTAAACCTGATTTTACGTTATGTACAAGAATAGGAAGCAAAAAAATTTGTGAACCCCTAATACTTGCCCGTTGTACAATCGCTTTTTCTTTCGATTATAAGTCGCGCGTTATTAAACGGTTTAATCAAGATCACACTGCGAATAATGGATAAGAAGAGGGACTTCGAGCGTCCAAAATGTTACAATTATTATATTCTTGCATGATTTATCGGAACATGCTAATTGTAAATCTAGATATCTTGAAATACTGTCATTATCTTATGATCTCATTGGGCACATCAAACAAATGTTATAAAATGTATAGTTTTCATCGGTATGAAAATTCTTTGTACAGTCAAGGTATCTGCCTCGTCCGACTAGTTACGTTTATTCTGTATAAATGTATACAAAGATGGATTTGGTAAAATCATAAAATTTGACAGGCTATTCAAGATACCGCCTGATTCCAAAATTAGTTTCAGAATCGATTACTTGATAAATTGTCAATTTAAGAATATCGGAAAACGTCTGTAAATTTAATGAGACAACAATTAAAATTGCAGAGCGCTTGGAGTCAATCACACGCTCATACGTGTACGTAATAACAATGTCGCCTGCCACGAATTCATTCGATATATGCTGTTGTTTCTACCGAGGTGCATATTTCCGAACAAAATAAAAAATTATAATTATGGTTTAGAATCGTATACCGAGTTCGAGGCAGCGTACATCGTATGTTTCTTGACTTAAATTACCTATACTTATCTATACTTGATTTAAATAAGGACTTTTTCCAATTTCTTAAATGTTCAACAACAACCATTTATCAGGGATTCGCTCCACCGTCCTTCTTTGTTTCCTCGTTAATGACATTTGCTTTTTCGTCTTTCTCATTTTCTGTAAAGTATTACTGTTTTTTTCAAAAAAACACCGGTAAACACATCAGCATGACCGTGTACAGAAAAATTAAATGTACATACCTTTTGGTTCCGATTTTATGTCTTCTTCTTTTTTGAGATCACTTTCTATGCCTTCTTGACCCTTTTCTAGACGAGGTCGTTTTCTGGAACCCTTTTGGATAAGGAAGAATTGTAATTTAAATATAAAAATATTTATTGCAACTGTAACATTTTACTAGTTAGGTAAAATAACAATGTAAATGAATAAGTTGTTTATGCTTGCAGAAATAATGAATGCTACCTTAAATGACCTGTTGTCTCTTCGACCGCCTTCTCCTTCTTCTTCACTGTCACTATATTCATTTTCATGTTGTATCCTTTTATCTAAATCACGTTGCGGTAATCGTTCATCCGGATTGACCTTTTCCTCAGCCTCTGAATCTTCGATAACCGCACCATCTTCTGGAATTGGTTGAACTTGTACACCTGGTGCATGAGGTAACATTCGTAGGTTCTCAAATAATCTGCTCCTATAAAAAAATTTAAAGTTCGAAAACAAAGAATAATTTACAGGAAAAACTAATTATATATTTGTCCAAATTCTGATAAAACGTACTTAATTTTCTCAAGATATTCGGGAGTATTTTGATTTGCCATGTTTGAAGGACTAATATGTAATTTAAAATCGGGTCCAAAATATTCAAAATAATCATTGTAAGGTAATTCGTTTGCAATTTCTGACCCAAGAGCTACCGATGTTTCATATGTCCAACATCTAGACACGTTCCTGATAGTATATCCGCCACCGCCAACCATTAAGAAAGGTAGATTATATTTTTTTACAAATTCAACGCATTTACCGTGACCTCTTACTGTTAAGTTGAAACAACCCAATCTATCCCCTGTAATGATACATGTTCCAGTTAATAAAAATGTCTTTTTTATCAAATTATATTCGTGTACACACAAAGCTGTACCTGTTAACGAATCAGCACCACACTGTAAAACAACAGCAGAAGGCTGAAAGGTTTCCATCACTTTTGAAATTATAGGTACAAATATTGACTCATAACTTTCATCATCCATACCATCTCTTAGCGGTATGTTGACCGCATAATATTTTCCCTGCATAGAGAAAAGACTATGTGTAAGTATGCAGTTCAACAAAATGCATACCGATATACCTTATTTATATTATTGGCAGATTTTTTACCTTCCCTGCTCCAATATCACGGAGATCGCCGGTACCAGGAAAATATTCACCATACTTATGGAAGGAGACTGTCATTACTCTATCAGTGGTATAAAAAGCTTCTTCTACCCCATCGCCATGATGAACATCAATATCAATATATAAAACTCTTTGATGATATTTAAGCAGTTCCAAGATTCCTAGTACAATATCATTGACATAACAAAAACCAGATGCCTCGCTCTTTTTGGCATGATGTAAACCTCCACCCCAATTTATACAAATCTCCGAGGCTTGTTTGTTAAGTTTTACAGCAGCAGCTACAGAGCCTCCAGCTGACAATTGACAAAATTCATATAAACCATCAAAAACAGGACAATCTTCTCCAACATTAACTATAAAATAAAACAAAGTATTATTTCTTTTTTTTTTCAAACACAGTTCATGTTTCTGCTTCTACTGTAAATAAACTACATGTGCTTACATCGTTGCATTTGTTTATTATACTCTGACATATTGTCAGGCCTTATGGACCTGAGAAACCTAATATATTCATCGCTATGGAATTTTGTCATTTCATCTGCTGTAGCTTTATGAGGTCGCTAAACAAACAAAAAAAAAAAAGTTAAATTACTTACAACTATTATTATACCATTATTAGTTATTCATAAATACCAATAGTACAATAATACTTTTTTATATTTCAAAAGTATATAGAATTAGGAATGAAAATATACAAATTGATTAACAATTCTTACATATATTTCCATTTTTCTGTAAAGACCATAATTGAGAAGTAAATTATGTGTCATCCTTATACGATGTGGTTTCATAGGATGTCCTTGTCCATAGTAGTAATTTCCAATATCACCTAAAGCATAACTTTTTTTTTCATCTGCTCGACTGTACCGCGAATACGTACGAAAAACGATGAATTTTTATTACGAATTTTTAATGGTTTCATAAATATAAAGCTTAGAACCGATATCTGTATTACTACCTACAATACGGTCAACCGAAATTCACTTGAGAATCTCTCGCGTAAGCGATCAGAAAAAAGCGTTATTTCTTGTATGTACAATCAAAATTGTATTTTTTTTATAAAAATTGCAGCGCACACAAGTTAGGTTCATAAATCCGCGCACTTAAGTTCGTATTAATTAAACAGTTTGTATAATTTTTCAATATTTTGTCATAACCTACAATTCGCTTATTTTACTACAAGAAATCGACATATTATCGGGATTATATTATGGTTGAATAATGTCGAATTTAACAATATAAACGATACACGCATTATCCGATTGGGAGAAAAATAATTGTAATTCATAATCGGTTATAATTACTACTCGTTATTAGTTTTGTACGATTTATGGACAATTCGTACATCGTAGCGTATCACAAGTATATAAACATAAGAAAAAAGAAATTTGAAACATTTGCATTAAGAAATGGCAGACAAGTGATAATGATCGTTGAATATAGTATAATTGCTAAAAGGTAGGAAGGTAGATAAAGCCGACGCTCTTTCTTCGTTCAGGTACGGTAATACGGATCTACACCTGTGAATCTCTCGCTTTAACGCGGCTAAAACCGTGCAAGAAGGTAGAAGGAATGCGAAAAACGGTTGGTATTGCGAACAAAACGAAAATATTGTACGTATTAACGAAAATGACGAAGGTTGTTCGAATAAAATCCCATTAAAATTCATTGCTGGACGGAAAATGAATCTGTTGTACACGATACAAGCGCGGACAGCACAAACACATTTTGACAATCCCCCCGTGCATGTACGATATTTTCGCGGGATCACAAATTACTAGGAAATTTTCCAAATTTTTCACTCACTGTCGTAGTAGTAGCAGACGCGCTTCTTGCTGTGTGGTAATGTCGACATTTTCCACCGATTTCTTTCCGCTAAATTGCAAAATATCTGATATGAATCAAACGCGGACCGCGGAGTGTCGCGGCACCCACCGACAGAACACAGCGTCACTAGATCTCTTCTCTACGCCTGCGCTGTATTCTGTAGTCAAACTTTCAGATTTATCGCATAGGTGCCGCTTCTCTTAAAAATGAACTTAACCATAAAATGAATAATGTTGAGAATCGGTATGTTGTTGCTAAAATTAGACCAGAAATATCGAAAATTATTTCGCCGTGGATAAAACGATTTCGCGCGTAGAATTACTAAATAATGAAAAGAGATAATTTGCATAATTGCATCATGATTAGAATGCTATGCTTACACACATTATTCCTATCACACACACACACACACACATGGTATACGTGTAATGCAATACACACGAATAAACATATGAATATGGACTTTCGTAAAAAACTTGAAAATTAAAATGATTACTTTCTAATATTTTATAAAAAGAAAATGAGCGAAATTTAATTATAAAATACTTGATAAAATTAAATTAGTATTACACGATCCGCTTCATGTAATTCAATATATAGATCTCCATTACTTACCACTTATTCAATGGGTATGTTGTATCACACGAGATTAATAGGAAATTTAAAAGATACAAGTTTTCAATATGTACATCAATATGTACAGGTAAATATATACATATATGTATATATACATATTAAAATAAATTTCAATATATACATTGAAAACATTATAAATTTCAATGTATATATTAAAAAGTTTAATATATATATATATATACACAAATAGATCTTTTATTTCAAAGCATTTTACACAACGCTGCTCTACATTTTATTTACGTAAGTAAAATAATGTCGATTCAAGGTCACCCGAAGAGCGCAGCTTACACAGGTCGGTGCGTTAAATCGTAAAACGTACAACGAGCTGCTAAAACTTTGCACCTGCACGGCGTAGCTCGTATTCCATTCTCACATCGAAGAGCGTACACGTAAATGCCATTTTGGTCGTCCTTTTTTTACTAATCCTTTGGATCAGCGGAGTACACATGTACTGTATACATGTCCAACGATCGCAATCGTTACCATTAAGAGGGTCTTCTAGTAAAGTCAACAGAAAAATAGGCATTCTTTGTAAATTTGTTACGAAAAAGCCATAAGACTTTTCAGTACGAGTGTCTTGCTCGTGTTATTCATATTTCGAGGATACACACGAATTTTTTTAGTATAAAATAGTAAAAAATGTACGAGATCGATAAAGACATGCATAAGCTGTTTCAAATGGCTGCCATTATAGCGACTGTTCTGTTCATCTGAAACGAAGAAATCAAAATTTATTCTGCTCAGTAAGGATACAGCTATAGCCCGAATTAAAAAAAATTCGATATCTCAATTTTGTAAATCTTTGAGATTAAAAAAGAAATAGAATAACACGTCAGATCTTAATATCTCTAGTTCTGGTTATAAAGGTATATCTCCCGATAATAATTTCGTTATTTTTATGAATCCCGTCAAATGGCTTTGCAGACAAATTTTCAAAGTTTCGAACTTTAAAAAGACGCGAACAAAAATTGATTTTTTTGACGTGGATTACTAGAAGACTCCCTTAAGAAAAAAAGCAAATATCAAAAGAACTAGGTGTGTTGTTTCGATTTAAACGAAATTTACAAAAAAAAAAAAAAAAAACGCTTCGATTCGTGTAAATGCAATAGCATCCATTTTGGCAGTATGATTTTCAGCGTTTCAAATTAATTGTCAATCTCTATGTATTTATGAAATCTTAAAAAATCTGACATTACAGCTACACGAGTACGTACAAGAAACGTATACCAAGCATCGTAAACACGAGCTTCTTACCCCTCGAACGAGCATACAAAGCGCCACGACGAAGTATACGCGGTTTAGTTTAGTTTGCACAAGGCTTCGTTGAATACAAGATAAATTGTCAGAATCGACCGTCGACGTCACTGTTTCTCTTTTTCCCCTACGAACTCGATCGGTTTCGTGGGCCTCGTATGCATCGTTTTGAAAAAAAATGGGTTCTTTACGATCTCTGTCCCGTGTGCGGAGATAGAATGCAAACATCCACGCAAAAACGCATGCGCACAGAATATACGTATAAAAAAAACTGATACAAGTAATCGTGATGAATGCTCGAGAAGCGTGGCTTCGATGATCGCGCGAAATAAATGCAATGACTAAAAACTAAATTCACCTAAATGGAAATGAAATGTCGGTACAACAAGCTGCCGGGAGCAGCGACGGAACAACGCCGCGAACGAAGGCGTTTTCAAAGCGGATAGTGTGTACCATGAGAAATGCTTCGATAAATATTCTTCGACCAGCACCAATCGCATTTTCGCACATATACACCATCGATAGAACTACAGCTACGAAGAGTTTGCGATCGCTTTAACGAAAAATCGACGCCCGTTAACTTTCGTCGGCTCATCAGTAGACGGATTCATCTCGTAGCCCGTACGTTGAAAGAAAAGCTTCCAACGAAAAATAATTTAATTTCGTAAACGATACTCTCATCGCGCGGTGTACGCGAGAGTACAAATCACGTTCGTTCTTTTTGCGTACGAAACGCAACGAAGGGAACTATAGTAACGATTCGAGAAAGGAAAAATCGCTCGTGAATGTTCGTAATGTTACTTTCCACGCAAGTAAAATTCCCCAGGCAATAACACGTCGACATACTTTGAATTCAATTTTCTACACATCGTTACACGTTAAGCCTCCGTGTCTCTTAGCGTCGTAATGTTCAAACAACATGAGAATAATACAATTTATTTACCGTTCGCAGAACGTAATTTTCGGTAAGGATCTTAAAGTGAATTAAATGGATTTACCCGTAGTTACTGGAATTGGATCACTCGGAAAAATATCAATCGTTCCCAGGCTATACACGCTCGTGTGTGTGTGTATTATACACTTTTGCAGTAACCCGCGTTAAAGATATTCTTTTTTCCACAACGTTGGTATTCCTAAGCGAGTAGTAACACCTTTTAAACGCCTCTATCTCTTTGCTACTTGAACAGCGCGTGCTCGTGCCCGCGTATACGTACTTACAGTCGAAGTATGGAGACTCTCTATCTTTACGAGAGAGCGGTCGATCTCCCGTTTCGTTTTCATTTGCTTGCGCTTTTCACGCGTACCCTCTGGTTTCTTCTCGTTTTGCACGCTATTGCTCGCGCGTGTCGTTTACAGCGAAAAGAATTTTAGGAAGGTTTGCGGAGGAATTGGAACGTGAAGGGAGGCTTGATCAACGTCCGCCAGTTTTTCCTGAAACGCTGGATCCTGGTCGGCGATACAGGGATGACCCAACGATCGCCAAAACAAGCAACGGCAATTGCGGCACAACTGGATCATCTCCGCGTACTCTTCTCGCAATCCGAAGGATCTAAACAAAACAACACTTCGTTAAATTAATTTTAAGCACGGTATTAAATGTTGGAGGACGTCTAAAAATATTATGTAGAATACGTTTTATTCGTATCTGGTGGAACTTCAAATGTCAGTATGGCTGCTGAATTATTAAGGGACGACACAGATATACGTATAAGAAAATGGACGGTATAAAGAACCTATATGATACTTGATGTTGGATTTATAAAAATGAAACTCTTGATCAGGAAATCTTTTAATTTGTAATTTTTTGGCGGCGTATAGAAGACCCGCGCGTATGTTACCTTCGAGCAATAGTGAATATAGTCTTCCAGTCTTTTCCAGGATTGTTTTGTCTGGTGGTGGCTATTTGCTGATGAGTGAAATGATACTGGGCAAGCTCGCGCCAGATTCTTTGTTCTTGAGCCAAGATGGCGAGATGTTCGCAGGCCTCCGAGGAAGCTTCGATATCCCGGGGATCGCTCAGCCGTAGAAGCACCTCCCGACGGCATTCGGCGGGTAAATCCGACCATTGTGGTCGTTGTTCTTCGTCCGGCTAAAACAACAATGATAATACAAAGTTTGCAAGGGCCACTGCTTTTCATTCCAAAATTTTAATGGTAGATTCTAGAGGCCAAAATAAGATGGAAATCAAAAGTATCAATTTGTTGATTGAGGCTTCGTTAAAAATTTAATAAAAAAATTAAATTAAAAAATTTCAAATCGTTCTGGAAAAATTATTTTTAGCTGCGAGGGTCAATTACAATCATTTTTTGTGAATACACATACTTCCGAATTCCTACGCACTTTCGAGAAAAAAATTCGAGAAGATGTGAAATTTTTCGACAAAATTAAAATATTTCAAATCATTCTAAAAAAATTATTTTCAGTTGCGGGGGTCGATTACAATCATTTTTGGTAATTACACGTACCCCCGAAATCCTACGCATTTTCGAGAAAAAAATTCCTTACCGAAAATATAATAATGCCTGCCCATACCGTTGATATGTTTCACTGAAATTTCATGTGTATCTTTAAAATGTCATAACTTCTGAACGGATTGGAGGATTTTAATGTTTAAAAAAACAAACGACGCGTATTTTAATGAAGAATATGTAGAAATTCTAAAAATATTGGAAAAGTTGTTCCTTGACCCCGTAAAGTAAGAAAAACGCCATAAAGATGGTCCAATATTCAAACAGCCATAACTCCTATAATAGTGAATATATTTCAATGAAACTTTTTTCTGAAATAGAGCTCATAGGTACCTACAAAAAAGTATTAGACAACTTTTCTGTAGGGCGTCAAACAAAACGACTAAAAATGAAAAACGAATTTTTAAGGAAAATCGACAGGGGGTAGGTGCCTAAATTTTTCGGTGAAAATGAAAAGTTTCAAATCATTCTGAAAAAATTATTTTTAGTTGTGGGGGTCAATAACAATCATTTTTGGTGAATAGACATACCCCCGAAATCCTGCGCATTTTCGAGAAAAAAATTCGAGTAGGTGCCTAAATTTTTCGACGAAAAAAAAAATTTAAAATCATTTTGAAAAAATTATTTTCGTGTGTGGGGGTCAAATACAAACATTTTTGGTGAATAGACATACCCCCGAAATCCTGCGCATTTTCGAGAAAAAAATTCAGTACGAGCGGAACTTTAAACGTTAATAACTTTTTAACGAGGCCTCCATCAACAAATTGGTATTCTTGATTTTCGTCCTATTTTGGCCTCCAGAATCTCTCATTACAATTAAATTTTCATTCACTCTACAAATTACTATCCGTTGAAATAAATAAATAAACGTTGTCTGTGATTCTTGTACTCCTTTATCGGGTCGTACCTGAGTTATAGTGATGGACGAGGCAATTTGCAAGATTCTCTCCAGAGCTGCTTTATGCTTCTCCCACAAAATTACGGAGCCCAAGGCTCTGCCACCCCAACAACAGCCAGCGCTGAAAGCTCGGACTCTTTCGATCAGACGACGAAGCCTACCGGTTTGTTGCTGGGACAACGAAACTGTGGAACACACGGTAAACGTGTAGTCGATTATTAACGATCGTCAACAAATGATCTGAACAAAGAATCGAACGAAATCGCTATAACTTTACTCGTTGTTCGAAGCTTCGAGCGATCCCTATTATTTGTTACGAGCGAATCCGTACAATTTACCTTCCAACGCGACTTCTTCCAGCATGTTGAAGAGGACTCGCTGAGCGCAACCGCTTAGTCCGCCCATTCGATGACTGACCAGAAGGTCCAGCAGTCGCACGATATAATTGAAACGTCGGCAATCGTGGACCGCGGATAGAAAATCGAGCCTCTTCAGCGCGTCGCTCAGCCCGTTGAAACCCGCGATCTACGAATGGAAAAAGAGAGACATGGACATTAGAAGCAGTTAGGGCCTAAGAATAGTGGTCAAAGAGCTTCCCGAGCATTTCTCCCTATTTTTCTCTTAATCCATACGCGACAAACGTACGACCTTAACGAACAAATCCCATCCCAGTGTCCCTCCCCCTTTTGCGCGGCTAAGTTAAATATAAGTAGGGGTGGAACGAGTCACTCACCTCGCGCGTGCACTTCAGCGTGATGTGGCAATGCGGCTGGACGACGTTTTCTAAAATTATACGAGAAGACGGTTAGTCGAAAGATCCGAGCGATGAGCGCCCCTTTCCGTCCGAGACGCAAAGGACGACGCGCGTTCCAGGGCGTTCCAAAGCGTCCCTCTGCGTCCCACGCGTTTTTCCCCCCCGTTTTTCACAGTACAATAAATTCCTTGTTACAAACACTATTTTTCTACCAATGGTTTCGAGAAACATCCTTTAAAACTTTAACACGAAATTACTTTCTAAGTTGATCATCGAAGGGAAAAAGAAATTGTTAACCAAATCAAGTGGAACCGGTTTGTAGGCATACAAGCGGGGGATTACTGTGTTTGTTAAGGGCATTTACGACATGGTGAATTCTAATGGTAGGCGTATCGGATCCGTGCGAATCGATAGCATCAAACGCGGTGGTACTCACCTTTCTTTTTGTCCTTTTCCTTCTTGTCGAGCGCGTCCTTATCGCCGCTGCAAGAAACAAACAAACGAGACGATAATACCATGTCTGTCGCGATCCCGTTTATCAATTACATAGAAACGGTTTGCGTTGGTCGATATTAAAGTTTCTCGCCGACCCAGGCGGAAGCTGCCGCGTAGGAAACATCAACGATCGAAGTAATTGTTCCGTTTCACGTCCGAAACTTGGCGACTGGCAACTAGCTGGCGAACGGAATCGCCGAGCGTGAACGTTACTTTGTGCGTGAATAGGTGTGTTGCTCGTTCGTGCGAGCAGAATTAGTGGAACGGCACGCGCGTGGGCGTGGGTTTGCCTTTTTCCCCAGTTATCGAACTATAGTAGGCCAGCAAACGGTCTCAATTATAGCACGATAAGGACAGGACCGGTTTTCGAGATTACGAGCCGAGATCTAGAAACAACAGCGCCAGGGTATCGTTCGGATAAAGTTTTTTATCGAGTCAACGACACTGTTTGCGAGTTAAAAAAAGAATACGCGGAAACAAAGAGAAATGGCAGGCCTGGACGCGACTGCTTGGGCACGGTAAATTAAACCGTTTCCAACGCACATCCTTAACGAAATCACGCGAACGAAGATAGTCCGCGCGAAAAGCTTTGTTCCAGCTACCGCGAAAGGTCACTGGATACGTCAAAGGATCAACAATGGTTCACGCAACGGGGATCGATTGTTCGTCGGTTCGCGGACGACCCATTTTTCTTTGTCCTGTAAATCGAATCGTTAGAATTAATTGTCAACAACGCACGCCTCGATTCCAGAGGAACAGCTACAGCGTTGCGCAAAAACTTAAGATGCTCGAGTTGTTCGTATTCCTTTGCGTTAAAAAATGTTTCTCGCGAGCCCTACTTCGTAAAGTAACTATGTTTAGATGTATTATATCGCGTAAATACGAAGGTGTGCCGCAATGGAGAACTTTACGCATTGAACGACAGAATAGTAAGATCCATCTTTGTGTCACGTTGAGCTAAGTGATGTGTACGCATTTACGGACGGAAAAAGAGAGGCAGTAAAAGACGAGAATACTAAATACGTTGCACGCGAGGCGAAACAATAATAAAGTACAAAGTTCGCGTTAACTTTGTCAGCGATCGTTATCGGTTATGTTTGCAATCAATAATTTACAGCAGAGACAAAGAGAATGTTGTAACTACCGTGTTATACGGGGGATATCTGTATGATTGCATGCTGTTAGTTAAAAACTAATACGTGTTTGTAATGGGATTTAGCGAAGCTTTGAAAATGTAGATAAACGACCATGTAACTTTAGATCCACGCGTTGTTGCGGGGGGTTAGAGTATGCCTAACGATCCGAGCGATCCGTGTCGTCCCGAATTTTCATACTCGACCAAGTGTTAAGGTCGACGAATCGCCCCGTGTACGGTCGCTAGCAGAGACCTTGCACTAACGCGCTTACGCGACGCAGGGAGAGAAACCTCGCGCCAATAATCCCACGACATTATGTAACTATCGGTAATACCGGTCGTGAAACGAGTCGCGTAGATACGGGAACGTCTGCGTGTTTGTGCACGCGGTCAGGCACGCTTCGCGTTAAAAAAGTCGAGCGTTCGGAAAAGTTCTCGGTACGCAGGGGCTTCTCTCTTGCTTCAGACTTCGGGAAAGCCGGTGAAAAAGGTCTCGCGATGTCTTCGAGAGGCTTAATAAGTTCCCTGTCCTCTACAAAAAAGTATCAAAGTATTTGTATCCTATATCCAATAGTTCAATGTAACACTTTAAAATGTACTAAAATTGTTTGAATGGAACTTACGAAAGCAGTTGGATCGGTACACAAGGATCAATTTTATGGCCACCGCGATCGCCGGGTAATATTAATCTGTTCGCTTGCATCAGAGATGACTGTTATTAGATTGCGAAACATGTGATACCGCTTTCTTGAAACTCGACTGTTTCGTGTGCTTTTACCTCTCGTTTCTGTCCATCGATCTTGTTTGCTGGAGGTGTTCAGATCGTTCGCGATAGCAAACATGTCGACTAAATGAGCTAGATCTAATCGACGTTCACGATTAACTTGGATAAATTTCATTTTATATCCACGAAAATTGGGGCAAACTTGTTTGGTGATTTAAATACTTGAAAAACGCGCAACAGGAGTTGTTTCGACTTTCGTAGCATCGCGTAATAGAATACATTCACCTTTGCGTTGTTAATAAAAAAATTTACAAGCTTGTTCGAGGATGTTGGGTCATTGACGGACGCCTCTCGAATTGTTTAGAAACCACTGATCTAAACTCTTATTTAGCTATTCACGCGACTTTCACTCTATAACTCTCTTTCAAAGACTCTCTCGCTGCTACTCTCTAAGACCGACTTTATCGTTCTCTTGCAGCACAAATCTTCACGTGCATTCTGAGATCCCGTTTTCACACGCGCGTCACTTTCAATCCTGCATCATTGATGTATACAGAGTGTTCGTTTGAAAACTTTGCATCTATAAATACTGTGTATTGCGAGATACTAAGTATGAATATTACAGGATACTTGGTATTTTCATAAAGAACAAAGTTTTTTTGGATGCGAAATGCGAGATGGTCGCCAAGAAGCGCGGTATCGCCGAATCGAATTTATCAGGAGCCGGTGATACAGAAGGAGATTTGTGAAATTGGTACAGGTCAGGCTAGCTAGGTCGCGACCCACTTTCGTACCAGGACACGAACAAGTCGCGTCGCTGTTTGCTATGATTTGGGGAATATGCTCCATCATTTTTTAGAATTTATATGCATTCTTCATCGTATCCCAACAACAACAACAACAACGAGAAAGTAAAGTGTACACAGTGAAAGTATACCAAATAGAGTAATAGAGCCGGGGCGGCTATGTTCTCATTACACACTGACTTATAGGTTTCAATATTTTTTTAAATAATCTACAGTTAAACCCCTTTCCTGATAAAAGAACAATTAAATGAATTCACCGAGTGGTTTTCATGTAATAAATTCTTGAAAATGCTTCTTTCGCGGGTTCGAAGGAATGTCTCCCCTTGAGCGAGACATGGAAAAGATTCCACAGACTATACATTCGTCGCTGCGAGTAACAAAGAAGTTCAAAGCTTGCTGCTCGTAATACGTTTCGCGTGGATCTTGAGAGCCGCTGATCGGAGCGAAGCTGCGCGCTACGCGCTGCGATCCGGAAGCCAAGGCCGACGGATACGTACACGTAACTGCTATTCCAGGCAAATTGTATATCGTTAAGATACAAAATTGCACAGCCGTGCCCAGAAGAGGTTAAAAAATTAAGTTCGACTTCAACTTAAAGTCAGGAAGAAATATATAGAATGTAACAAATATATGTTAGAGACTAATTAAACAAATTTATCCCATTCTGATCTCTACTACCTAAAGCAGTGGTTTCCAAACTTCTTGAAAGGTAACTCCCTAAAAAAAGAAAAAAAAAAAAAAGAGTTTCTATATCTGAAGTAAATGGTAGGTGTAATATGATACAAGGAAAATATACTCCCGCAGTTGTTAAACTCTGTTTACCAATGTATTAATAGAAAGAAATGTTATCCACATCTGATATTTCTGCTTTTTTTGCGCTCTGCATTTTTGAATCTTGTACAAAGGTAACGACTGAAAAGTTTGTTTGGAACCACCGCGTGCAAGCAAGATCTACACCTGATATTTGTTTACATCTGTTGATTTACAGTAACATTTCGTACGAGTGTCCACATATCTTTTGTCCCTCATCGTTAAACTTTCTTCTTTGTTTTAAATGCATACAAAGGGGGATCAACCTGTTAAATAAAGAATCGTTGTTATTATTATATTGACAATGAGCGCGAGTGTTTCGGAGCGCAGATTTGAGTATGGCCGGTGTAACGGGGTAACGAGAAACTATTTAGTCTACTCGCGATAGTTTGTTTGGCGTGCATACGGAAAGGGGATCGTTTCTTTCGCGAAGCGCGCGAAAGCGTGGCGACGATGCAGCCCCGACAGCTCTGCCTGGCTGTCTACGGTGTATGAATCGGTACGAGGAGCTTTCACGGTCTCGCGATGCCGGGGCGCTTAATTCGTGAACGGGAACGTGCACGTATGCACGTACACGTCCGATCCAATCATACGCACACCTGCCTGCAAAAGAAGATCACGAAGCAATAAGCATAAAGAGAGTGAGCTCGCGCGCGTGTATGCAGCCACGCACCGTTAATTAGAAACACAACGATTCGCCATCGTGGAAAACAAAGGGAATGAAAGAAAAATGCAATGTTACGCGTAACGACTCCAAGGAAATTGCCTATCGGTTCTGTCGCATATCCAGACTCGGTATAATCGGGGATCAAAATATTTTGCAACAGAAGTTCCGCTGTCTCGGAAAAGTACTAACAATAGGAACGTACAAGCAGCTATTTTTGGACTGCCACGAACGATCGATGACTTTTAACTCTCTTGATTCTCTAGAAAGTTTAATAAGAATTATTGTAACGTCGAAATGTTTTGAACGAAGAAACAATTTCGTCGATAAAAAATAACGAATTACATCGTAAATGCACCGTCGAAGGAGTTCGATTCTTTATCGATGAAATTGAGATTGATTGCTCGACGATTATGAAATTTGGTATACGACGCGACGTACTAGTTTGGCGAGATAATACAGAAAAAAAAAAGATCCTGTTCGAAACCATTGAACGCTACGAAAGCGAATATATTCCGTCACGGTTCGGTCCACTCGACGGAATGTCAGGCGAACGGCTGTCACGACGGATAGAACGCTCCTCCGTGGTGCTCGTGATTGTAAACAAACCGAGGACTAACTGTCATTCGATCGATGTAACAGCTGTGAAGCGGACCGAGCACCCGGAAACGACTGGCCCCGCCAGAGCGTCGACTGCTATTTGAAAACAAAGAACGACGCCGGGAACGTAGAAGGAGAGCAGAGAACGCCAGAGTGAACCAGTAACACTTACCGAAGGAGGAGAGAAAGCGTTTTATTGTTCGCACACTCGAGGATTTTCTTCTTTTCCCAGCCCTCCACGGTCTTGACCCATTCCTCGCCAGGACTGCGCCAATCCTTTGATATAAACGGCATCGTTTGCGAGGAAGACGCGAGTCGACCGTACTCGCGCACGCAAACTGTACCCTCGCTCGAGAAATCTTGCTAAAATGCACCTCACTGTTTCGCGGACGCCCAATGTTTGTTCGCAAGACGGCTCGGTCGGTTCGGTTTACCTCGCGGCTGCGATCGACCGCGCATGGCTTTGTTTTACTGACGTCACTTCGGTATCAGCTGTGCAACTGACGGACCAGTTCACTCTTGAGATGCCATCCACCATCTTGAAAACTACGAGACGCGCACGCGCGATGAAGTGACCGAAAGCGGTAGGGGAGACTTCGAATAGCTTCGAATCTTATTGGACGTTGGACAATATACATATAATACAAGCAACAATTATGAAAAACTCTGTTCCCCATAATATAGCTAAAACTTATCAAAATTAGTAAAATTGGAAAACTAAATAATTATTAAACGTTCATTATACGTAGCTTAAGATTTCGAAAGCTTCGAATTAAATGTGTTCGAAATCCCTCATTAGCCAAGAATTAAGCGCGATATTCGAATATAGCGTAGTTAACGTAAAGAATCGCATTTCGCTGTTGCTCGATGTACGATCTTTACTGTTTATTTACGACGAGTAATATATAAACGTGTAACGTAACGGATTTTGTATTAAGTACAAAATAAAAAAATATGTACAATTTTTATGTTATATTTATATCGTTCAATTGCTTATCTATTTGGGAAACGGTATTCGTAAGCACTGATTCTTCCTCCTTCTCGTCGTCTGTTTCGGAATCCGTCGGTGGAAAATCTGAAACAGCTTAAAAATAATTATGAATAATAAAGGTAATAACGTTACGACGATGGCAAAGTTGGGCATTGTAAAATTACCATGTCTGTCAATTTTTTCTTGTCTTGCATCGGCAAGAAACTTTTCCTGGGTGGCTATTATTTCTTCCGAGTTTGTACAAAGCGAATATTTCTTTAACAATTCCTCGTTCAATTCTAAAAATGCGTGGCCCCAAGAAAACTTTCCCAGATAAAATTTTGCCTCGTCCGGAAAACCTGTTATAATTAAAGTAGCAGCTATAGCTTCCACGCAACTCAATTGACACGGTTTGCCATAATTTATTGGATTTGCAGCAACTAAGAATGGCAAAAGACGAGGATTGGGCGTCCTCATTCTACCGAACGGAGTATCATCTAAACGTGCCCAACTGCAGTCAATGACCGCACAACCATATTCACGTACAATATCGTGATCTGTTGGGCTCACGCACTGTAACAAACTATTTCAGCCTCATGTACCTACAATAACATTATTTCGTACGCTTCGTGCGATCGTTGTACCTTTTGGCCAACCGGAGTGAGGACTAAGCCTGGAAATCGAGCACCTAACCTCAATAATTTCACCAAGCCGTATCTAACAAGTTTTCTACCGGAACATTTCTTAGGATCGCAGTGTCCGAGATCCCACATGGCAACAAGGAAAGGAAGAGGCCATTCTCCTTCTTCTGAAAATTTAATAATAATATTAGTACCCTCGAAACATGCCCGACCGAATGCACCTTCCTAACCTGATTCTTCGTCTTCTCTATCGGAATTGTCTCTTTCCTGACGATACTTTTCTTCTTTCCCGACGACATGTCGAGGCCGTCGCGTCAATACGTTCTTTTTATTTTTCTTCCAGGAAGATGACATTAATGAAACTTCAAAATCTTTCGTAATATAGTTACTTCGCGTAAGCGTACGCGCACACAAAATAGTGCCTCTCTAATTTGAAGGTTACATATTAATACAATTAGTTTAAACTCTGTTGATAACTGATGCATATATCATTCGTGTACAAATCTACATACATAAGTACATGTGATATACACGATATATTTATATAGTATCATCTATATGATTAATGCAAATTTATTTCAGTTGTAAGAGTATTATTTTACAACGTACTGGTGCTTTTATCTTTTGAAAAAAATATGCTAACAACGACTTGGTTGTCCTAACATATTTTTTAATTAGAAATTTAATATTTCTATACCTGTATGAGGAAAATTGCACCCGTTCGTCCGGCATATTTACTAATAAAAGTAAAAGTTTCTCTGTAGAAACGGATACACGGGAAATGTCGGTTTGGGGCTGAAAACGTTGAATCAAACTTTTATCAAATAAAATGAGCAATGACTAAAAATATGATATGGATGAAAAATGTTCATTTTGTATTTTGCAATAGTGCCACTGCATTAAACGGCCCTGAAGCACTCATAGTGTGAGTAACAAGTGGCTGTTCTGTTCTCAATCGCTTCGCGGAACACAAATCGCTCAGAGAACGATGTTGCTTTAACATGCATTTAAGTGCACTTTGACTCTAACGGGAATGTATTGTTTGTTCAACTATTTCTCCTGAATCGAAGCTAGCGTAAGTTTATTGCATTTTGTGCGTTAATTATTTCATCTAATAAACACATACCGTTGAATTATAATTTCGCAATCGTGTATAAAAACATTAACTGGTTAATTGCGTATTTGTATAAGTAGGTATCTTCACATTTTACTAATTTTAATGTTATCTTATTTGCGCCGCCTAAAGAATATGGATCCAGGTATTTCACCAAGAAAACTATATTATATAGTATTTTTAAATTTTTTCCTGCGTACGTGTTACGATATTTAAATGTTCATATTAATATTAATAGCTAACGATCTTTCGAGGATTCTTTCGATAAAACTTTTAAAAACATAATTCGCGGTTCTCGTAATTATATAGATAATGCGTAACATACGTATATTGTACACATATTCTTCTAAATATGTACAGTAGTTAGTATAAGTTTTGTGAAAATATGCTAAGGTGTGAGTGAACTTTTTGCATTAAAGATTCTTAATTTTTCGAATATTATTGATTTTATAAATTATTTAATAACGATTCTTTACATTTTACTAGAAAATATAGGCAAGGAAACAATTATAAAAGTAACAGACTGGTTACGTGGAATTTGGGAAATGAGGCGTCGAACTGGCCCAGTTCAACAATGGGTCCACTCTCTACCATCATCTGTTAAGACAGATTTGTCTATAGCAGATGAACAACAAGAAACAATTACTACTCCGTTGACTCGGACAGAGCCTAAAGATATTCCACATTCTTTGGGGATTAAAATACCAACCATGACTGTTTCAGCACCTATTAATGTTCCTAGTACATCTGCAATTAATACACCTGGCCTACCTAGGTAGTTTGCAAAAATGAAACATACATAAAGACTCTATTTTGTAATATAATTATATCTTTATATTTACTTATAGCTCATTACCCTATAAACTGGTACGTGATCCAAGTCTGCAGTCTGATAGCAGTCATTGCAGTAGCGTGGAAAGCTTGTTAGAATCAAGAAGGGCAGATCCAGAAGCGATCTTGCTTGGTCTTGGATTTGGTGGCTGTACAAATAGTCCACAAGAGAGTGGTCCTCTTTCACGTATACCAAAAAGATTTTTGCAGCCTTCGAAATTAAAAGGCATAGCCATTAATGATTTTATGAAACAACAACAAGAAACAAGCGAATCTATTGATTCCGTATCTTTAGGATATAGAGGACTAACAGGTAAGTTTTACATAAGAAATCACCCGATACAACAAAATAAATTTATAATGGGATGGTAAATGATGGAGAAACAGATATTTAAAGTCATTATGCCGTATAACTGGAACAAAATTTGTAGATAAATCATCTTAAATCAACGGTAACAATATGTTACTTAAATGGTAATTTTATAGGAAGTGATGACACGTTATCAGTGTCTAAACTTTTACTACATCGCCGACATTCTGGACCAATTAAGTTTGTAAGTCTTATAGCAGCTGGGACTTTCTAAATAAAATTTATTTTTGTTGCAAAATATTTTTATTTGAAGAATTTAAGTTACAAGTCAGCAACATATTATTTAAATCGCATAGGTGTTTAACCGTTTCAACGCAATAGCGCTTCTTCTGTTTCATGTTGAAAAGTATAAAATCGATAGCTCCGACCGGCTTCGGGAGATCAAATTTAATTTGTGCAAGATGTCACTAAGGTCTCAATACGTCGTGTTTTGACAAGCATAAATTTAAATAATTATGCAACGAAAACTTTCTTGCAAATAGAACCGAAGTATACGTCGGCAGTTTTCAACATGGAATAACAGTCCAATCGCGCTGCTTGGAACTCAAACGGTTAATTCGATTATTTGCCTGCTATAATTCAATATTTAATCTGTTATGTTTCTTTACTATAAACATAAAAGAAATTTAACATGCATGAACTTTGTTATATCATGTAAATTTTAAATTATTTTTTAATGAAATCCAAAATAGCATGAATAATCAATTTTGAAATGTTACTATATATCATTTTTTAAATTATTATTACTTATTTATTAGATGTTTTAATGTTATCGGTATTATGTAATGTACAATAACCATCAATCTATTACAGCTGATGGGATAATTTTTTTTTATTTATAAGGTTCACCGTACGTAGCACCGTCAGAAATTGTACAAAAAATTATGCAACGTTTACGAGAACACGAAAGTCACGAGAATGACCCATATGCGATGTATAATTCTTATGAATCGTATAGTCCAATGCAACACAATGGCACACAGTCTGTACTGTCCCCTGATAATAGACAATTTTTAGAACGGCCACGTTCGAAAAGTCCTGATATGCGTAATAAACGTATGATTATCGGTAAGAATTGACTACATCTTACGTTTATTTTATTTAAAGATCTTTTGCACTAGAAACTATAGCAAGTTGTACGGGGACCTAAATGTTTCAGGACAAAAATCTTTTGCATTCGGACACGACGGCGATTTAATCGAAATTAATCCTTCTGATATAAAAAGATCATCAAAATGCAATGTAAATAATAATTCAGATGCCATGGAAGATTCTAAGATACATAGAAACTTAGAAGACACTAATATTAATCATGATAACATATTGCCAAAGAAATTATCATTCGACGACAGTACAGAACTTTGCGACACGGATATTAATTTATCAATGGAATCCTGTGGGGAATGTTCAGATGAACAAAATATAACCTTGGTCGAAAATATTGATTTTAAAGAAGATATTTCTTTTGGTACGACTTCGCAAAATTTATCTGATATTCGACGAGCCAGCGATGGATTTTGCGATGTAAAACTCGGAGAGAATTTCACGATAACGCAGGAACGAAGACACAGCGATAGTTTCGTTCAAACTATTGACAACGGTAATGGTGAATCTATTTTATCGCAAAGAAGGAAAACTTTGAAGCGACAAACTAGAATAACGGATATGGATGCGTTCAGTTACTGTAACTTGAAGACGTCTGTGTCTGATAAAATGCAATCTAAGGACAAAAATGTAGAAATCGGCGAACACAGTACAGGTATTAAAGTTAATTCTCTTGAAAAGATCACTGAAAACATGGCATTAAGAACCGAAGATGAAATTTGTGGTGCAAAATGTTCAAATACATTCTCTAAAAAAAGTGACAATTGTATTCAATGTGTAGATAATAGTTTAGGTAAAAAAAAACAACAAGATAACGATAAATGTGATATTGAGGAGGATCAATCTCTGGAAGAGCAAATATACGCGGATGAAGAAGAAAGCACGTCTTGTTGTTGTGCCGGTACTACAAAATATTGGAAAAAAATGGACAAAATTATTCAAGAAAATAAAAACCTAGAAAATATGGTGGTAAAATACAGAAGAGAAATGGCAGAAGTTCGAGAAATGTTGAGCAATGTACTGTCGGTACGAATGGAGCCTGGTTTTTAATGTAGGGGAATAAATATTATAAAAAGGATTATTCACGTATAAGTGAATGACAGTAATGATTGTTCATAACATTATAAAACATTTCGTTCTGTGCATGGTATTAGATACATGAAATTGTTTTAACTTTCTTCATTATCTATTTCAAAAACTGAATATTTATTTCACATATATCAATAGTGCTTTATAATGCATTTATAAGCACTATACACGTAGTAAAACTGGCACACGGAATTATCTCAGGAAGTAATAAATACCATAAAAACTAACAATGCCAATGTTTTATATGTAAAAAAAAACATCTTTATTCATAACAGCTACATTCCTTTTTATGTTTTCAGTTATAAATAAAGATGTAAATATTTTGTTACGATTTCAAATTTTATTTCATATTAAATATGAATGAAATACCAATGTTCAATATGTGGTTATACTTACAAATAACGTGCGTGCGCCTTTGTCTGTATGTATATATATATATATATATATATATTTTTGTTTTTGTTTTCACTTCCACGTGTAATTACAGTGTTCCGTTATGTTTGAAAATTATTGCTACTGTGTTACGACACTTGTTAATTTTAGTCGATATTTTTTTTCTATTCTTAATGTTGAATGTTTCATCTAAATATTCTGTTAACCGCTGAATAGTTTTATTGTTGTTCAATCGTACAAATATGCAATAGACCATAAACACGATTGAAACAATGTTTGTTATTTTTGCTTCATATTCTTGATATGCTGTTAGACACAATGGAAGATACCAGTTATAATACATTCCTATAGTCAACGAAAGAAATTCGGAGTTTCTAGTCCCGTAATTTCGCGCAGCAATAATGTGTTAATAATATTATTGCATATTACGTTGTTTCGTTCATAAATGAAACAATGATTGAATATAACTGAAACATTCCAAGTTATTAGAATAAGTGGTAATTACTGAACATTGGTACCTACATGCAATATAATTAACTTTTCATACTTCATACTATCGTTCGCCGAGGCATTTATAAAATTTTTCGATATATCGACCGTGACTGCGACGTGAAACATAGTCGAAGCAACATTTACAGCTTCTTTCATGTTTAAGAACATTGTTTGTAAATACTTAGCGAATGATTATATTTATAGCGAGAACATCAATGCTATGAAATTGTGTTTGGGATCAGTGTGAACATTGAGTCTATTTCTAATGATACACGTTAGACAAGTAATAAACTGCTAACATCGACTTACAAAGATACAAGTTATCGCTATGCCTACGAACTGCTTGAAATGAAAACGCCATACTTTAGTATATTTTGTTTTACTTAATATTATTTGGCTTTTACGTATTGCAAATTAAAAGAAACGAACCTCGAATCGATTGACAATCCAATGCCTAAAAAAAAAAAGCTAATACTAAAGTATATTCGAAGATGTAATGAAACCTAAAGAAGAGAAAACGATAAAGGACAGTTGTATAAATAACAATCTCTACGCAACTGTCGAATCTGTCTTGCCAAGAAGTAAGAGGAAAACTTTGAAACATTCCTATTTGTAATGTTTTATAAATTTTTCCATACTTTGATGTTTGTACTATTTTGTATTTTTGTGCTTTAAAAAACACATATTCTGCAAGAGTAGTTATTTTTAGAACTTGTTTGCATAACCAATATAAAAAGAAGAATATTAACTGTAACCTACAGTTTATACACAGTTGTAACTTTACAAGCTCATTAATTGTTTTTTTTAGTGTTCAATTATGTATATCTTTTTTGTTATTAAAACTAATCCAATTGTTTTTATTCTAAACTGAATAGTTTTATTTGAGCTTCTTTTTTTGTTAACATCAACTATATTTCAGCATGTTATAATTGAATTAAATACAACGGTAAGAATTGTATTTAAATGCTGTTAATCAAAAAGTTTCAAGTACAAATTTAAACATTTCAAAAAGTCGTCGGAATTTCTTGAAGAACTCACGTAAAATTATTTTTGTGTATAATTTTTTAAATATATGATTTAATGTTTAAACGTTTAAACTTATAATGAAAATTATATTCCTTATATGCCTACATTCCAATAAATTTGATGTACATAGATTATACAAACAGGGTAGGAGCTTTGTAGAAGATACGATGAAATGTACAAATACAGGAATATTGAATAAATATTTAACACAATTAATTTTTACTCTTTCTTCTTTCATGTATATGAACCATAATTTTTATCCATAAAACTAGGTCCAACATGACATACCACTGAACATGATCGATGACAGTACAATTTAATTTCTTATTCACACTGTTACTATTAACATAAATTCAGTATACTCGCGGTCACGAAAATAATCCGAAATTTAAATAAAAAAAAGTTAAAAACAATACAATTTCCCAAGGATTTTCACAGGACGATAGGAACACAAGACAAACGGTAACTGACACTGTTTTTTTTTCCCCTTCTATATCTAACATTTTCCATCTCGACGACTAAATGTAATGCAGGATTTAGTCAATAAACGTGTTTTCGTCACAGGGTATAATTATTCAAAGTACAATAAACGGCCAAGTAAATTTTGAGATCAGGACTACTTCCAAATTTGTATACCAAATAATTAGAAAGAAAGAAAGCAAGAAGATAAACGTTTTTAAAATAATATACGCGATCGAATTAAGAAGTCCAGACTTTTGTTGCAATTATAAAATGCAGAATGCGAGTGGATATTGTGTACCTCCAAAGAACTGAATAATGACGCACACTTGTAGGTAGCTTTATTGTTAATTGAAACACGCATACGCATTTGACAGAACCATCAATTATACGTAAAGCTACCCCTTTGCAACTTTGAACTGAGATCCATGGTCCACTCAATCTTATTTTTAAACACGAATCTGCTAGAATATCATTTTGTAAACTGCATCCATTTGTTTGCGTAATATGCCTGTGTAGTGTTATTGTGTACATGTGGATGTAGATGTATTTTTTTCTTAGCATACCTTAAAATGTATATAAACAAATAAGATCAACCGTGATCTTACATTAATGTAGATAATGGAAGATTAAATTTTAATCTTCTTTGTCTTCCCTGAAACACAGAAAAAACGAATTGTTGTTACGATTTTGTTAATCTCTTAGACACGGCTGAAGTTAAACGCGAATTATGCGTAAACATTGGAACGAAGAATGATCCGTATATTGTTAACACTGTTATAAAACATTTTGAAGGCAAAAAGAGTGTGAAACAAAACATATGAAAAGGATCATTTAATTCAAACGGTGAGCGAGTGAGTCACTATAGTGACGCGTCGTTTAAAAAGGTGACATCCGCGAAAGCGAGAATAGTGCCGCATTGTGCCTAAGAGGTTAAACATATTATTATACACGGAAACGAAAAGAGAAACATACTTCACAATTTCTTGTTGTTGTTGATCAAGATGAAGTTCAACAATTGTCTCTGTTCTACTTTGCACTTTAAAAGTGACCTGTGCAGCCAAGTACTTATCTTTATTGTTCACCGACCATCCGGAATACTGAAAAAAAAGAAAAAGAAAAAAGAAAGATTTATTAGAAGAATGTAGAAATAAAATGATGAACCTTTAGACCAGATATATTAAAGCTTACTGTTGATGTGCTTTTATATAATGTCTTTCCATTTTCTTTGAAAGGTAAAAACTTCTGAAGTAAAGCTTTTCCATCTATCCTCCACAGTGTTGGATCCGTACTTGTACCAATGTCTGCTTTTGCAACAACAAATGCCCCAGACTGTAATAGACAATGTAAATAACACAATTATGTCATTATTTAAACGGATAATCACAAATATGAAACAAGGATTAAAAGAACAACTCACGGTGAAGTCTTTTGGTGTTTCCCCGGACGATTCGTTAAAGCTATTATCATCAGAGTCCTCATCTTCGTCCTCCTTTTCATCTTCTTCTTTCTTTGACCGTCTTTTCCTTTTGGGCTTTTTTCCTGTGTCAGAATCAGACTCTTCGTCTTCCTCATCGTCTTCCTCCTCCTCTTCTTCTTCTTCTTCGTCCTCTTCTTCTTCCGAATGTTGTCGTTTTTTAGCAACTTCCCTCTGTGGCCTCTTTTTAGCACCACCCTAAAAAAAATTCATAAAAATACTGTGGTTATTCTTTTCTCGCGTTTTTGATAACAGCAATTCATAACAACGAAGATATATCATCGTGATGAAACGCACTTACCTAGCATCGTTTGTTTTAAATTTAATAAAAAAATTTATAATATCTATACACTTAATTTATATACGAGGTTAATTGCGATAATGATATATGTATATTGAAAACGGTAAAGCGTGTACGTGTTAAAATCGTAGATGGTTAAGCGTACTATTGCACTGTTTTGAAGAATTCATTAGCTGGCGCCACCGACTGACCGGCCGGCAACGATGACTCGCGACGGCCACAACGCTATCACCAAGAATAACTGTTTTCTTACAAAAATAATACGATCCAAAATTGGACTTCCTATCCGTGTTACGAACTATCAAACGAGCGCATTTTTTTACACAATAAAACAAATTTCCGTAAGATAATTCTACCAATGATAACACTTTCGAATACGTATGATATATCAGGTAGCGTGTTTGTCACGGCTTCGACGGCGCTGCTACACAACCAATTCACGTTTTCTCGTTATCTGCTCGAGGAGATTGATTGGAAACAATTTCTATTTGACAATAACGAAACGCGTGAAACAAATAAATCGATGAAAATATCACGGACGACAATGTTGATCCATTATTCGAAAACGTTCGAATTTCCAGTCCCGATCACGACTAAAACGAACAAATTGAGCTGCCTCCGATTGACAGATCTTTAATCGCGAATAATGGCGTATAAACGTACTCGCGTGCGGCGGAATCTGTATAAGAACAGTGGCCGGAAAGTGGGAAATTACAGCCCGGGGGAAAATGCAGGGAAGAATGTTTGCGATAACAATAAAGGTGGGAAAAGCGTTAGTAGCGTGGGCTTACCTCGACCCCGGCCTCAGGAGTCCAGTCTTCTTCGGAAGCTCCTTCAATTTCTTCCGGATCGTCTGCGGAATATTCGTCCTCGTCGGACACGTCCTTGGTCTTCTTCATGTTGCTTTTTCGCGAAATGTTTGCAAATTTTCCCGAAGGACTCACCGAACAAGAAAAAAACTCACGAGACCGCGTACAAATCGACCAACTTCGTGCACGACTACCGCAAACAATATGGCGGTATATGGCGGTGGGAATTAACTTTCGCGCATATCCTCCTGCGCAGCCTGGAAGCGACGCGTGCCACACGACTTCCAGTTCTCGCGGACGAGCGCGAAACAAACAATTTTTAAACAACGAGTCCGGGCGTTTGATCGCTATACTATCGCGCGTTCCATTAGAACATTACACGACGCTCGAATAAATATATTTCCAGGTGAATTTTTGTGCTCGATTCTTCGATACGTTTTCTACGTTAACGAAATAATCCAGAGACACAAAGAACAGAGTACTAAACGAAGTATGTGTTTCCCTTAGCGATATGTATGCATATTCCTGGATCGATTACAGTTGTTTCGCGCAGAGTTTATTTTATTAAATTAATCAATCATTATCTCTCGCGAAACGTATCATGTCGTCGGCTAAACTGTGTTCTTTTGGTATCGTAGAATTTTCTCTCGTCGCGGATGCGAAATAGTAAAAAGCACACGTACGAAGCGATTTAAAAACGTCAATAAAAATATCTTTTTATGACGCGTTCCGTTCGATGTCTCGCAACTACGTATCACAAATGAATTGTATTGCGTCTCGTAGGCGCGAATGCTCGTGTAAACGCGTACCGTAGTTACTGGGACGCGGTATCGTGCGAGAAATTTTTCTTAAATCTTACCGATTAGGTGAAATTTTTTAGATTTGAAACGTTTCCCCGATATCGGGTCGATACGAGGGTTGGCGCATGCGTTAATATTCCTCGAAACGAGACGCTCCCTTCAGTATTTACTGTCCTAAGGAACAGGCGACAGAGCGATCGTAGAAAGAAGGGAAACATGTTTGAGCTTTACGGAGTGAATAAAGATAGCATGGTTTATCGGTCACCGCCTCCAAGAAGAAAAGAAGTCGACATATTAGAGGTAATTCGCGAATTTTCGGTAGTTCGTTCGATCGCATTAACTATTCGTCTAAGATTATTCTACGACTATATCGTAAACGATTATACTTATCTATCTTTATTTTTTCTTGCGATAGATTCCTCTGATTCGATTGTGCAAAAATGTCCGAAATATACGAAATCAGTTTATAAAAATTTTGCAATCCGGCTAAAGGATTTCAAGCATTCTCCAAGTGTACAAATTATATCTTTCGTTAAACTTAGAATAATATTTTTACAGACATGCTTGCAGCTATCGTCCCCAGAGCTTATAAGAAAATTACCTAATGGCGATGCATTGCACCATACAAAGGATCTGAGTGTCTCTACGTCGTTAAATAAAGAGCCACCAAGGGAAAGCGGTACGTCTTTAACGAGTAAACAAAGTCCGCAATAAAACTTTATACGTATAGGGCTTGAAAGAAATATAATTGTTTTCGATTATTATTGATTCTACCGGTATCGATAACTATCGAGATATAAAAAAGATTTTGATTCGATACAGCGGAATCGACGCTTCCTATCGAGTACTTTGGTATAGAATCGATTTGATATCGTCGATAGTATCGATCCCATGACCAGTCGCGCGACGCTGTCTCTTCGATTTCGCGGTCGTACAACGATCGATTGATCGCTCTTCTCTCCTTTCTCTAATTTCGCACATCGGCGAGCCTGCTCCGCGCGAAAAGACGCGCAAACAGCAGAAAATTCGATAAGATTTCCATTCGATTCGCTGGTCAATGAACGGGGGAAAAAATCACCGATCGTGAAATTCGAAATCGTCGAACTGTCTGCGAGCGTGAATCCTCCGAAAAAGGATAGGGAGATCCGTGAAACAAAGATGCTAACACTTTGATGGCCGCAAAGATTCCTAACTGTTCCTTGACCTGCAATTTTAAAATTCAACACTTTACAAATACTCAAACGTTAGCGTTACATAGTTGTTGATATCGTAGACTAAAGAAAAGCACGCGAGGTATAATGAGCATACAAGATCACGTGCACGCGACAGCGGCCGTCAAAGTGTTAATGCAGACCGAAAGATCTGAATTGAATTGGCCTCTACGTACGATGCAGGACGAAGTATGCTGAGAAGGTGGATAGTGATGGCAGGTTTCTTTTTCCTCGGATGTGCCTTGGTCGCCGGTGTAGGATTACCTTTAGCTTTAGAACTGCGGAGCTCGCATTTGTTGGAAGCTAGGCTCCAAGTTGTGCGACGAATGCTCTCCGAGATTCCTCTCGTCGATGGGTAACCGACATTTTGTAAATTAGATCGTTATCGAACGACCGTAACATCCAGCGAGCGATCGTCGAGCTGTACAATTAAATTCCCTTCGATCTTCCAGGCACAACGATTTCGCATGGAACCTTCGAAAGCACCGCGGAAGCACAAAGTTGCAGGACTTTCCCTTCGACGAGGACCTGTCGCAAAACGCGAGCTGGGGTCCGCGATGGCAAACCGACCTGGTCCGGTTGAGACAAGGTATCGTGGGCGGGCAATTCTGGTCCGTGTACGTTCCATGCGAGGCGCAGTTCCTCGACGCTGTTCAGCTCACCCTGGAACAGATAGACGTGGTACGTAGACTGGCGTCGAGGTACCCGAAGAGAATAAGGCTGGTGACCAGCAGCAAGGAGCTGGAGAAGGCGCACAAGGACGGTGTGATAGGAAGCTTAGTAGGGATCGAGGGTGGCCATAGCATCGGTACCTCTATGGCGGTGTTGAGAAGCTTCCATCGACTCGGGGCTAGATACATGACCCTGACGCACAAGTGCAACACTCCCTGGTAAGTCACCAGCTATCGATGCAAACGAAGGGTTGACCCCTGCTTCCCTGAAAACAGAGTCTAACGTTAGATATTTATCTTGCATACAAGTGCTGAAGAATCTTCTGCCCTTAGGGCGGACTCCTGTTCGGTGGAGGACCCGAATTCGGACGCGTCGTTGGATTTTCACAGCGACGGGCTGTCGTTGTTCGGTAAAGCAGTTGTTAAGGAGCTCAATCGATTAGGGATGCTCGTGGATCTCTCTCACGTTTCGATAAGGACCATGAGAGACGCGCTGATAGCGACCAAAGCGCCGGTGATATTTTCTCACAGCGCGGCCAGAGCTCTCTGCAACTCGTCCAGCAACGTTCCGGACGACGTGCTGCGGAACTTGGTGAGAAAAGAAAGCCAAACGAGCGAGTCGTTGGACGATTTTTATAATTTTTTCTTTTCCAGTCCGTGAACGGTGGTCTGGTCATGGTCAGTTTCGACAGCGCGCACTTAAACTGTGGCGACAAAGCTTCCATGTACGATGTCATAGGTACGGTGTACAAGTAGAAATCTTCTAGACGAACGTTTTTGTAACGAACCACCATGCTTGTCTCTTTGCAGCTCACATCAATCATATTAGACGAATAGCTGGCGTTAATCATGTGGGTCTTGGGGCCGGTTACGACGGTATATTAAGGTTGGTACCGTGGTACAACGTATGTAATCTATTTTAATGCTATCTCGACGCTTATCTTTTAGTCCGCCGGTCGAACTTCCGGACGTTTCCGGTTATCCTCTGTTGCTGGCCGAATTGACGAGGGACCGACGATGGTCGGCGTCGGATATCAAGAAACTGGTGGGCGGAAATCTGTTGAGAATCTTCAAGGAAGTGGAAAGTTACGCGGCGACGATGTCCCATCAATTCCCGGCCGAAGAGCTGATCCCTCAGGAGCTGATCGAGGATACCGATTACTGCAGATACCACGACACGTAAAGCCGATGTAGATCGTGTACAGTTTCATCTTTGTACCTGGATTGCTCTGTTTTACATTTTTAATAAAGTAGTCACGGATTCTTTCTACCAGAATTTTCTTCGCCCTGGCAACTTTGCGTTTGTCGCGCGGAGGTTTCCATCGAGAGCTGACATCTCGATCGTCTAACTTTCCCAAAGAAGTTAGCGCTGACTAGCCGTGCCGAGAAGGTACACGATTGCCTTTACGAACGAAATGGATCCTGCCTGTTGAGTCAATTTGCATTGTCATCGACGGTACCGTCTACGCGGAATGTATGTCGAAGCAATTATTTAATTTCATATCGGTCGCACTGCGGTTAACGAGCGCGGACAAATCGAGACGATTGCCCTGTTCGGCTTAAGAGGGTATTCTAATCGTTTCCATGCGTTCTATGGAATTTAAAAAGAGAAAGAAACCATGACACTTTCGTGTCACATTACAACAAGTATACATAATTTTTTTCGCGCGAAAATAATAAAAATTGTCCAAGATACGGGCGTTTCGGTGGATCTGCTTCCACCGGCAACCGCCATGACAGTCAACGCGTTAATTTCCTTTCTACAGATTACGCGCGATTATTGTTATTCTCGGAACTCCTATCGTTCCTCGGTAATTATTGTTTTACACGTTACGATCGCTGTCACGATTCACGCTGATCGATATCGCGAACGAGCAAATTGCTACTTCGTCTTCGACACAGCTAGCAACGACATTGAAGTCAAAGTGCAACTAATCGCTTCTCCTTTTTCCTTTGTATCCATAATTTATCGTACAATCGTTGTTCTAGTATTCCAGATGCGTAATAATTTCAGAGCAAATCTCGGAGCACTTTGTTTACGATTGTTTATCTTCGTAAAAATTGTGACCGTAACCCATTGACTCGCGAACGGCGGCCATTACGATCGCAAGGAACTTTCGGAGAGAATTAATAATTTCGTTTCTGATTTCCATAGACGAAACAGGATCGTTCTACCGAATCGTAGAATCTAGATTCGAGTCTGGATATTTCGCTTCTCGGGTGATCGCTTTAATCGATTATAATTCGTATTATAAATGCGTGCTCTACTGACCTATTCCACAGTTAAACGCGCCACTGTTCAATGTACTCGATTACAGTCGGGATTTATCAAGGGACTTTCTACTTTGACGGATAGAACAATTTTCGGAAATATGTACATTTAAAAATATAACATTAGATCTATTAAAATTACTTAATTTGTCGTTTGTGATAATAATTAGCCATTTCTAGTACACCTTACTATCTAAAATCGTGTCCCTTTTCTTAGTCTTTACATAAAATTTAATCATTTCCAAACCATTAAACGTGAATCGCCTTAGAATATCTCCTCAACAGCTTTCGATCGCTGGCCGTGTGCCAAAGTGATCGAAAACCGTTAAATTAAACTGTTATAAGTACTGCTATAACACTGGTCAACAAATCGTAAGTAGCATGTTCGTTTCAACAAGGACTTGAATTGATTTCTCGGAGTAACATTATATTAGCTGTTGATCGGTTCAATTATTAACCTTTTTACGGTGTTCGTATCGTCTCGTAACGCGCGCACGGAGACGGGTGTTTGTAAAAAGGCTTGCTTTTAATTACAAAGTGCGAAGACGAGAGGATTATGGCGCTCGTTAACGCGATCTCGCGTTTACAATAAAAACGGAGCGAAACATCGCAGATCGGAGGCAGCGATGACGACGCGGATTCGACCGAAAGTAATTCGTTGATCTCGTCCAGCCGACGAAAGAACAGTGCGTAACGAGTTCATCGGATCAAAGAGGCCAAGATAAAGTGCAATCAAATCCTCGAGTTGGGACAGATTACGATTCGTACCGTACAATGCACAAGAGCGAACGCAGCGAGCGACGCTCCTACGTCCGAGGCGTAGCGGCGAATGCCGAATGCGAGACCAACAACTTGTAAATCTATAGGCTTTCCAAACATTAATGACCCGAGGATCGACGAATATCGACGATATTCACCGATCGTGTCCCGACCCCAGGAATGTACGCGCCCCAACGTAACCCTCGCGCATCGTCGTAACGCAAAGCTCTGACAAATTCAGCAAAAATGAAAGAAATAAAGAAAAGATAGTTGCTAGTACACGGAGAAAGAACAAACAACCTTCGATCCGTAATTTGTCGAATAACAATGGAACAAAAGCTTACCGAAACGACTGATCAATTCGATACACGTTGCATCTTCATTTGTTATTGTTTTAATAAAATCTCGTCCACGTTTGTTCGCGAGAAAAAAGACATGAAGAAAGGAAAGAAAAGTAAGAATGATCGTGGATGCAAAGCACGCAGGGAAGATCGTTTGAATTCATGCGGCGTGTTAATAGATCGAGGTATTGATCATTGATAGAACAGATATACAATTTAGCATAGGACGCGCGGTGCATTTTGGATGCAGCGCATGTCGTCTTATTGTTAGGTCTAACGCGGGCCAGTTACTTTTTCCACCACGATTATACAATCTGTCTTCGTTATTTAATAATTTAATTCGGTATAGAATTACTGGTGTCGGAGTTGCACGATCAATCTTCATAATGAAGACATAATGATCGTAATAGGAGACGCTGACGCGGTTCGAATGTTGCACGATGGGAAAATTTGTTTTCCGTTTCAGGTTTTCTCAAACCTTTGCAGACGATCGACAGATACAACAAAACGTGCACACTTTATCTTTACTTTGTCTCTGACGAGATTACGTTTCTTTGTACAATTTTCCAGTAACGCAAGAGGTAAAGTCTTTCTAAATTAAAAACACAGTTCTCTAATGACAAATGGCTTTGAATTATTCCGCGAAGAGTTAACTCGCGCGAGCACGTGTGCGGCTAATTATTTCTAAATCCGTTTCCATTCTAATTGATCGCGATATTACTAGGCAAGTAGAAGCAATTAGGACGGGAAAAAATATCTAATGGTGAAACAAAGACGAGTCCATCAGCCGTTCCTGGACGGCTGGATGACGGTATCGTGGCGCGGAGGTGGTAGGGGATTCGAAGATTACGCTGGCTGGTTCGCGAGCCGAAACATCAGTTTAGTTTACTATCGGTTCCGTGTCGCATCCTCCCACGGGATTCGAAAACTCGAATGTTGTGTAAAAATCGTGACGCGGCAAACGGAAGTATCGTCGAATCGGCAGAAAAGATATCGTCGCGCGCGGCAACTTTGATTTTTCCCTCGATCGCGAGATCTCGTGATCCGTCAGCAAAATCGCGCGACTCGAAGGCGGGAAACAAAATCACACAGTTTAATATGCGAGTCTAACAGAATCTAGAGAAACCGAGGTGAGTTTAAAATTACGATCCATTTAAAAGTAAAGTTTAACTAGCAAACACCTGGACAACGATCTTGAATTAAAATCGTATTTCCTCTGAGCACGAATTTATCTTTTTGGTACCGCTTGTTTGAATTTTAGCGGCGAACGTGTTGATATTATACAAATAACAGACACGCATTCCAGTTGTACAATAATCCGACGTAAACACGTGTACGACTATCGCTGTTGCGCGGCGATAAAAAAACGCGTGTCTGTCTTATTTACCGCAGGGAACGCAGCGTGAAAAACGATCGCGTCTGCCGAGCCCTTAGATCGTCGCGTAACACGTGTTTCGCGTGGACAGTCGGCCAACTTTTCGTTTACTTAGACGCGGTACGTTCAGTGAACTGTAATTCCGCCAAAAGCGAGAGAGAGATCCCGTAAAAATAGCCGCGGCTAATTTCGAACCGCGCAGAACGAAGTATGGTTTTTGACGGGCCGGGGATGATGCCGATGTTTTCGTTAAAAATTGTTTCGCGGGTTTTCTATAATAAGTATGCAGGTGGCAGCCTTCGATACCGATTTACTTTTTGGCAAACGATCAACGTGTCCATCAAAGATCCCGATGATCCGTTCGATCCGACATACACTACGGTGAAAAAGTTTGGAAGCATCGGGGGGATCGTCTATTAAACTAATATTCGTGCAAAATTCCGCGCCCTTGTCCGAGTTTCTCAAAAAGGATAACGCGTCGCTGTCCAAGAAGGAAGCGACCGTGGCGACAAATGCAAAGAAGGACGCGCAGATTTTTTTCTACGAATTACGACTCGTGAACGTTTATTTGAATAATCCTTTGTTTCAGAGCATCGAACGGAAGGCGTGGAAGCGAAAAAGACAAAGGGGACCAAAAGATGAGATACAAGGTGACGGCGATGGACGAGAGACGATTCTCGATTGTATTTTCCATTCGCGGCTACGATCGTGCATCGCCGCGGCCTCGGATCTGTCGCGAGAATAATCAGGATCATCGTGACGTTGCTCGTCCCGTCCCCGTGATATTCTTACCAGCCAGTCATTGAGCTTTCTTTCTCTCTTAGAACGTCTCGCGTGCATCGATTTGCATAAAACATAAGTCTCATAGACGCGTCGCCTTTGTCATTACAAATCGGAACGCCTTAAATCGACCCTAAAACCGTATACATTGTAGCTAACCACGCTTCCTCTAACTTATTATTTTTTTCTTTGAAAAACAGACGCCAGGACCGAGAATACATTTAAAACCGCGGTCGACGTCCACGCGGGAATATTGCCAGATCTTGATAAGCAAATTGATAAGTGTCAGGCGTCGTTTAAATCGCTCCAGTGAAAAGCGCGCGTTCGCGACGAACAGGGGCGCGTAAAAGTTCGTGGCGTTTTTCGATTTCGTTCGTAATGGCGAAAGATAAGAAAAAGAGGTTGCGTGGAAGAATATCCGACGCTATTCGTGCGATCAGACAGTGACGCCTCGCACCGCGAATAGAATCGGCGATCACGTTCACGGTCAATATCGGCTAATTCCTTTCCAAGCTCGTGGATATATTTATATACCTATCCGTCTCGAAGGAGAGCCTGTCTTTGCGCGAAGAATCCCGTACGATCTTCGCTGACGGGCCTTACTTCGATCGCACTTTGTTGTATAACTGGTTAATACGAGCTACGCAGTACAGTAGGTGTATTATTTTATTGCATAACGCATATCTGGTACGAACACGCGTGCATCGGGCGTACGCCTGGCCGAAGATCGGCTCGAAGATCGCGGATAGGTTCGTTGGGAAGAACTGGAGCGTGGACAGGGGGCTCGTCCTTCTGGATTTTACAGCCTCGACGCGAGAAATTGAAATCACCGGGCAAAACCGCCGCTCCGCGCTTCACACCAATTCGTCGAATCTTCGCGATACAATTGCACATTCTTTCATCGAAGAAATTCAAAGTACCATCGTGCAAAGAAAGATGATCAACGCATCGATAGCCTTTCTAGTGTTAATTCAAAGAGTTACAAAATTACCATTGCTAATGATATTTAACAGAACAATCCTGAAGACTATTATCTTTCTCCGCTTGGTGTTACTTTGAATACTCCGTTTCACGAAGTTGTATTCGCGCCACTCTATAGAACGAGCATCGATAAAGTAGTTCTATTCGCAGAAAGCACACAACGTTAATACTTTGTACACATCGCGTTCGCGCTTTGCGTCTTGCATTGTACGCGTGGTCGGTTTTTAAGCTGCCGTGCGCCGGCAGTTTCCCGCAACCTACATTTCGCGGGCCAAGGCTGAAACGGATTCGTTCGTCCCATTAACCCTTCGGCTCGTCCTTCGATCCAACGGCGGTTCTACGCGCGAACAACTCGATCGCGTTCTCCATAGAGCAGCGCGATTCGTCTCCGACAATTTCGGCGATGTGAGAAGGAGGATCGTTCGCGGGAGCAGGATATTGGCCGCGGTAATTCCGACGATTCTGGGCCAAGGTGAAATCGTCGGTGGTCGTAAAGGGCGATAAACCGATAGATTTCGATTAGATCGATCAAAATTTATCCGCGATGGATTTACCGAAGAGAGAAAAACAATTATATTAATTTAAAGCTTAATTTTTGCTAGGTAACCGATCCGGAGGACCATGACAGAGACGTTCCAGGAGAAACGGGGGGAAACCCGATGGTTCCATGGTAATTAATAATCTCTATTTATATTGTTTTATGAGAAAGCAGATTTAAAGGACTTTCGATCGATTTGAGCAGGCAACACGTTCGCAGAGAGGAAAAGGAATTCGGCGGGAAGAGGACGAAGGTGGTGATAATCGTCGGCTTATTGACGGTGACCGTGGTTGCCTTAGTTGTGACGCTAACCTTGCAGATAGCTGTCTTCCGCCGGGATGAGTACAAAGAGATGTGCCAAAGCGAGGAGTGCGTGAAGACAGGTACCGTACCGGCGTGAAACCCCCAAGGTCCGCCGTTCATTTTTTTTTCTCTCTCTCTTCGATTAACCTCGCGACGCGATTACACATGGAAATGACCGGTTTCAATTTTACACCCGTTTACGTAACGACAATTTCCTATCGTATTAATTGTACGATGACGAACGATCCGTCGATGATCGCGAAAACAATTTCTTTGCGGTTCTAGCTGCCAGGATAATTGACGCGATGAACAGATCCGTAGATCCTTGCGAAGATTTTTATAAGTTCGCCTGCGGTGGTTGGATTTCGAAGAATCCGATACCGGAGAGCCAAACTTCCTGGGACCAATTGAGCCTTCTCAGGAAGCAGCTGCTGAAGAATCTGAGAATCCTGCTGAAGGAATCGGACAACGAGACCGATCCTAGACCGGTCAAGTTGGCCAGAACTTTGTACAGAACATGCATGGACACAAGTAAGAATTTAATCTACCGTCGATCATTAAAAATTTTAAATATCTCAGACAAGTTTACGTTACCTATAAAACCTCGTTATAGTTTTCGATGGGTGCGATAACAGTGCCAGTACGAAGAGTGCTGAGTAATCTTGACGTTCGTTAAAAATTGAATGTGCTAATACACGGTTCGATGACACGATTGCTGCGACGACGTATAAAATGATTCGTGCTGAAAACAACGAAAGTCTATATCAGCCGATCTGTAAAACACATCAAAATAATATTTGTACATTTGTTTCCTGTTTCGTTAAACAATTATAAAGAACAAGGGAATAAATCGCATGTGGAGAATCGCGTGCGACACCACGTTACGAAACTGCTTACACGTGTTTACACGGCTTCTGGATTGGGCACCAGCATCGTGGTAGCCTTTATAAGATTTAGACGATGCTGGTATCGTTCGGATAAACCTATTTTATTTACCGCGTACAGCACGGAGATCGATTTTCTCGGAAGCAATGCCTCGCGTAACGAAAAAAAGATTGCACGTTTCCGGTTTATTTTCGTACGTACGATCGCTTGTTTTCTCGATTACGATACTCGTTTCGGAATATTTCTGTAGATAAATATGTACTCGACACTGATTACACGGTATTTACGTGACTGAAGTTTGATTAATTACGATGCAGAGTCTCGCGCGTTTCCCGATATTTTTCATCGGCATCGAATTTGAATAATTTACTATTCGTTGACGGACGGGTGCACCATCGCGAACAATGCAATCTGTACAGAAAATTCTCGTCTTAAGAGGTGTGCAAACAAATCAGTTCGAATGTGGGTTATATCTATACGATGTGCGACGTGAAATCGTCAATACGCGTCTTATCGGCCGGTATACTTTTCTATTTAACGCGTTATTTTCAACAAAGAAAGATAGGCATTGTTTGTTTTCTACAAATACTATTGATATCAGCAAGTCAAAAGAACTAAATGTAATCGAACGATTAGGCAAAACAACGGTTAGACGTCCATCATTTTTTTCTTTAGCGAGCGTCGAAGCTTTGGGACTGAAACCGATCCACGACACGTTGATCAGGCTCGGATTGCCAAAGGATCCACCGTCGCGAAGCGGAATCACGCATCTAGATCTATCGGAGATCGCCGGGAAGGCGCAAAGAGTTTTGGGATTGGATCTGTTCCTAAAGTTTTACATCAGCGAAGATATTCGTAACACGTCGCGGAACAGGATGATGGTGAGACAACGGACGCGTTAAAATCAGTTGGATTTTGCAAACAACGCCGTGGCCGCGATTATTTTTAGGTGGAACAGGTGTCCCCGGGATTCAGCGAGCGTTACCTTCTCGATCCTCAACGCTTTCGATCGGAACTAACCGAGTACAAGAAATACATAAAATCTATGGTGGAGCTAGCTGGCGCGGAGTTCAACAGTCTCGGTTTCGCCAACGAAATTTTAGATTTCAGCACGAAAATCGCAAAGGTACGTACGCTACCAAGCAGCGTATACGCGAGTACAAGAATAAATCGAATATGCTCTATACGATAATCCAGATTATGGCGACGCCGGAGCAGAGACGCGGCGCTAATCACGTGTTCCACGACGTAACGATCGACGAATTGCAACAGTTTACAGACTTGCACGCGCAACAGGTGAATGCAACGGAAGGAACACAGCGAACGATTCCTGTAAACATTGATAAACAAAACATTTTAACGAACGTTTCAGTGGAACTGGACGAAATACGTGGAGGCAGTGTTCAACAACACGAACGCGACGATCAACACCGGCGTCGATCGCGCGATCGTGATGGATCTACACTATTTACAGCAGTTACCTGACCTGCTCGCGGCCACGTCGCCCGCTACCATAGGTAGAATTATTCTTGAACAAAAACACGTGGATTAATTTAACAATTGTTCTCGTAACAAGCAAACACGTAATCTTTCGATCGGAGACCAAATTTCACGTTGCAACTTTATCTCTCGACGTATGATCGATGATAAGCTACGTACAATGATCAAATGTTTCAGCGCGATACGTATGGTGGAGCATTTATTCGACGGTCGCTCCGTTAACACTGCAACGATTTCGCGATCTGGGTTTCCAGTTCTCGCAAAACGTACTCGGGCTGAAGGAGAAGACACCGAGATGGGAGGCCTGCACCGTAAACGCGAACGCGAATTTCGGTATGGCGATCAGTTACGTTTACGCGCAGAAGTATTTCAACGATCTGGCTCGGGAAAAGGTTTGATGATTTTCTTTTTTGTTCGAATCCTAGGCACGGAGAATACTATTTTTTTTTAAATGTTCAGGCATTGGAGATGTTATTGGATATTAAAGCCGCGTTCGACGAGATGGTAGCAGAGCTGGACTGGATGGACGCTGGCACGAGAGCTCGAGCGCATAAAAAATTACAAGCGATGAGACCGTACGTGGGGATTCCTGACTGGATTAACAACCTCACGAAGTTGGAGAAGTATTACGAGGGTGTAAGCGTTCGAAATCATATCTTTCGATCGAGATTCGGTCAAAACACTCGTTTCTAAAAGATGTTCTTTTGTCGTAGATGGAGGTCGTTCCAGGGAAATTGTTCGACACGTTTCTGAAGTTGGCAGACGCGGGAATGAAGAAAAGTTTGAACGCTTTGCGCCAGAAACCGGACAAAAATCGGTGGATATCGACCGGGACCACGGTGAACGCGTTTTATAGCGCGATATTAAATTCAGTTAGTAAGTATCGGAAGATAATCGATATCCTTGCTCGGATACTATATCGCGATCGATTTGCAGCTTTCCCGGCTGGTATTCTTCATCCCCCGTTCTATGGAAACGGACTCGAGTACGTATAAATCTCTCAATAAACGCTGCAATATTAAATAGGAAAATTATTATATGTCCCTCGAAATCACAATTTTTCTAAACTAAGTGTTCGCGATAATTTTCGCAGATTAGATTGAACCTTGATAAAATTTGCCTGGCGTTACCCCTTAATGGCTTTTGTTTCCGTTTGAGCGTTTCTAAGCGTTACGCGTTGCACAGGTCCGTCAACTACGGGGCCATGGGCGCGATTATGGGTCACGAACTCACGCACGGATTCGACGACCAAGGTATCCAAATTACCAAGTACTCCTAAACTGGCCGTTCGTTGAAATCCAAGTGATTGCGCGTTAATCATAATTTATACAGTTTTCTGATTACACGACATTTCCCCGTAAGGTCGTAGATACGACGAGACGGGGAATCTGAGGCAGTGGTGGAGCGACGAGACGTTGCAACATTATCACAAGAAAGTCAAGTGTATGATCAAACAGTACAGTAACTATCACTTGCCGGAATTGGGCGATAATTTCACGGTGAGTGTAATTGCGACCCTTGTAAGGATTAAACGAATATTCGTGCCAAGGTAAATGGCGGTAATAGAGTAAATGTACCTATTACTACGGAATCTTTTTCTATTTTCTGCCCTCAAAAATATTGCTCGATCAGTTCTATATTTAACCAAAAGATTAATATTTACCTATGAGCTATAAAATAGATCTTCTTTCTTCAGTTCTGATTTCCTGTCGCTTAAATAATTGTACATCCAACACGCATCTGTAAATTGATTAAGGGAAAGTTTTCCCATTTTTAAACACTTATACTTTATTCGAGACCTTCTATATGGTTTTAATACAATAATCGAGCCTTCGACATTACGTACCTGGCTCAACAAAGTTTTATTCGTTCGCTGTTGCTGTTCAGGTAAATGGCGTTAATACGCAGGGAGAAAACATAGCCGATAATGGCGGCATACGGGAGGCGTACAGAGCGTATCAAAGGCTGAAAACAAGAAACGGCGGTCAACAAGTGTTACCTGGTCTCACCGGGTACAGTCACGAGCAACTGTTCTTCGTGGGTTTCGCCCAGGTAAGATTTCCAAGCGGAAAATCTTGGTATCGGTTCAAACAATTTAATATACAATTACGTGTATGTATTTTACAGGTATGGTGCGGCAATTATACAAACGGCGCGTTAAAATCTAAACTGGTAGAAGAAGTCCATGCACCGAATCACTTCAGAGTCATCGGATCGCTGTCGAACAACGAGGATTTTGCGACAGCTTGGAATTGTCCGGTCGGAAGTCCCATGAACCCGTCTCACAAGTGTATTTTGTGGTAAACCTTCGATGGTACGGGCACACACGACGTGAAAGACTTAAACAGACTTTTGTTGGTTTTCAACGGTCATCCGCGTACACGTTACATTAATCGTAAGAAGTTTCAAACAGACTGATTCGTAGGAACTAGCGTGTAACCTAGAATACTTTTAGATCATACGTTTTAATAGGATTTACTATCTGTAAATATTATACAGAAAGCGAATAAAATTTTTTAAACCGATCCTGGAGTTTTAATTTCACTGCTTTTTCTTCTTCTTTGTCGGGATTGTGATAGCTTCATCCACGACTGCTTTCTTTTTCTTTTTCTTGGAAGAGATCTCGTCGTTCTTCAACGATCGCATCAATTTCTTCGTCGGTCTATGAACAGGTACACTATCTACTTCCCAAGCTTGCAGAGAGGACTGTTTGCGTTCGCATTCCACCGTCGAAGCACTTCTCTTTTTCTTTTTACCAGAACCGTTGTTCCTATCCTCCACGTTCGAGGATTTCTTCTTTTTCCTTGGAATGCTCTCGACTTCATCTTCTTCCAGCTTCTTCTTCTTCAAGATCGTTTTGAATCTTTTCTTATCCGAGACGTTTGGAGCCTGTTCTTCTTCCATGCGTCTTTTCTTCTTCGATTTCTTCCCCGTCGATACCGTTCGCGAATCGTCGATCGGCGTTACCTCCCAATCACCCTCCTTTTCGATCACGACCTCTTGTCGAAGTCGAAATTTCTTTCTCTCTACTACTTTCTCTTCCTCTTCCGCTTTCGCTTCGTCAACCTGACTGAGGCTCTTATACGGCATCGCAAGAGCCAGGCAAGTAATTCTAGCTGCACAATTAACGCTTTGCAACATATCCAATCTATGCTTGCTGTATTTCCAAAGTTTAATCTCACCGGAACTCGAAGCGGTAACCAACAAATCATTCTTAAAAGCCATACATTTTACTCTAATGTCGTGCCCTATCGCGTCAACGGTCTGCACGGATTTCTCGAGATCGTAGAATTTGATCCGACCATTATCCAAACCGACGGCAATTAAATCGTCTCTTAAAAATTCCACGCAAACTATCTTTGAATCGAACTGAATTTCGCTATCGACCCCTGCTAATTCTATCGAATATATATCTATTCTTTGGTTTGCAGCTAACAGATACTTCTCGCCGTTCGGGCTCCATTTTAATACGGTAACGTTGCGTGCGTCCAGTTTCAATCTGGGCACTAAGTTTGTGGCGTACGCTTGTCTCCCTTTTATTAAGTTCCAAGTACGAAGAATACCGTCGGCTCCTGTAGATAACGCGAGCTTTCCTGTAGGGTGTATAGCAAATGTATTTACAGCCAAACCTTTATGTGGCTTCAGCCACTGTTTCTCCAATTGCCAATTACCGCATCGGACGGCAGCTATGGTACCATCGTTACTGCATGAGAACATATGAGATGCTTCTGGAGTAAATGCAATGCAATTCACAGTATCTTTAACAAAAAAAAGAAACAATGCCGTATTAAAAATATTTCAGTGATAGACTATGACCTTCTTTGTAAAAGTTTCTGCTTACCATTGTGATGTACTAATTTGCCAGACTGTATTCTGTAATGCATATCATACAAACAAATGGAATCGTCTGCTCCACCGGAGGCCAAATAATGTTTATTACTTCCAATGCTACGTACACTGGCTACATGACTGTGGGTTGCAAAGCTCCTTTCCACCGTGTACTCCTGAAAATTTACGAAATAATTATTACATACCAATACGAACCAACGACGAGAGTTGATCTTCGACACTCTTTAATTTATATCAATCAAATTGCGTAAAGAAACGTGATAAAACTATTCTCAAAAGTTTCTTAACCTCGATCATGTTCGAATTACTTCGAATCTGTGTTGCAACACGCAATAACATTTGAAGTTTACTATTACGTTTGATGTACGAAACATAACCTACAACGTAACTACAACAATTGATACTCACGTTAACAATGTTGTTCACTTTGTAACCGAGCAAGTATTGCTCGTACGTTCCTACAATTATTTCAAACGGATTCGAAACGTTTGCATCTAAACGCACCATTGTTCTTAAACTTCTCGCCAACTTATGAGATAAAAACTTTTAGCGCGAACGCATGGCAATCCGTTTGTCCGACTTGACGAGTAACCAAACTATTCCGGTTACCGGCAACAATACTTATTGTAATTAATACGTAAAAGACACGTCACAACCATAGACTAAGTATAGAATAGAACTATCATCCCACACACTTTTGTATTACGTAGTTCAAGCACAGACGAGATATACGAATAGATCTTACATCTTATGTTCTTTCATAGTATATGGCGTCCAAATTTTTCGACGAAAAATTTTTTCAAATCTTCCCAAAAAAATTATTTTTAGTTATGGGGGTCAATAACAACCATTTTTGGTCAATAGACATACCCACGATATTGCAGACTAAAGAGAGATATGCGAAGATGCTAGGAATATTGTTATAAGGAATTGTAAATGTTGGATTAGAAGCAGAGATAAAATTTGAAAATTACTGATGCTAGCATAATCTATCTGGGGAAGCATTTTCAATACTTGTATGCTATGTTATTGTATTGTATGTTAAGTATGCAGCTGTATCAGGGTCCATGGATCTAGATCTATTAGATTATGATAGACTTATTTGGTCTGTTCTGACTCTATGAGTGCAATAATGAGCCCTAATAATACAGATGTTAATGTTAAAACTAATAAGTATATATTAGACCTCATAATAAGATCTCTGTATTATAGAGTTGTTTCTAGTCAACCACAAATCATTTATTGCAAATAAAATTTTGACTACTAAGAGTAGTATTCCTTTTTATATGAATTTATGCATATTGGTTGAACCTGAACACAAGAGAAGTATATAAAAAGTACGCAGTTCTTCATAATTGCATTACTTTTTAATTTAAAATATATAAACTGTACATATATTTATAAGTGGTATATATTCATGTGATTTTTTATATAATATGTGTGAGCATGATAAATTAATAGTAAATCTAACATATTTTTTACACGTGGCAGTTGAGACGATCGAGAAAATATTTCCTTGTGTCCAAGAATTGATAGAATTTGGTAGAAACATCTGCATAGTTTTACTAGTTTCGTTCGTTTATGTTTTCTAAACCGACGTTTTTTTCTACAATTAATTGTATCCTACTCAGTCCTTTCTGAAAACACAAATGCAACATAGCATGCTCGATTTGAAGTAAATAACATACTTCTGTAATTTCGTCAAATGTAAAAATGAAACAGACGGTAAAATTAACATTAATTATCCTCTTTCGACGATCATCGTGCATCATTCGTAAACTTGTTTAAAGGCGGTTGTCTTTTACGCGTATGAAAATTATAACGAATCATCCGTTAAAAAATAAATTTGTACCGTTTCGTTGAATAAGAAATTTTAGAAATCTTTCAAAATGAATTCGTACGTGATTACCATATTAGCTTATTAATTTCGTAGATAACAATGTCATCCGAACGTCATAAATTTTGTAAACGTAGGTAAATCATGGGTGTCGAGTGTGTCGGTGTGTGCGTGTGCTTTTCTTACCTAAACGTTCGCAAATGTATAAATTCATCATTTATGCACGAAAAGCATCCTTTTACGCTTAATTACGAATATACTGATTTCAATCACATTGCAAGTATAAAATAAGATAAAGCACTGTCTCGAGAAGAACGATCAACTAAGAAGGACTTAGAAAAACGAATACGGACGTAAGACGAATTAAGTTACGGAGCGATCGGTTTTTCGCGTAATTTAAATTAGTAAGATATCCGCCTGTAGAATATTTTATATCCTCGCTTATTGGCCCATAGGCGACTTACACGCTAAAGTAGGTTTACCGGGATCCTCCCGACTGTACAGAGCGTTCTTTATAAATAATTCTTATAAATTATCGTTAGTCTACGTTTCCGATTTCGACATAAAAATCATACAATGTACATAATATTTCCTGACGGTAGTCCACCTTTAATACTGCGAGCCCCCCATCCCGTTACCCCCCCACCCCCTATCCCGCCCCTTGGTTTGTGAATTCCTTAAAAACATTGTTCAGCCAATTTTGTTCAGTGACAAGTTTGGTCGGTGGCTTTTTGCGGCTTTCGGACTCGTTTATCGCGTCCGTTCGCGAGAACGACGAACTCAACGATTAAGTTAACTTAGGGCTCTAATAGAGGGGTAAGTTTCAGCTGCCTTGGTACGTCATTTGATCCGGAACAACGGACGAATGATTCTGATTTGGACTCTGATGGAAATGCGGACTGCTTCCGTCTTGCGATATTTCGCCGACAACGGGTTCTTCGTATTTCCCCCTCTTGAAACGACCGTACAACGAAGAGTAGGGTAGATTATAGTGAATAGCTGCTTGATTGATGCTCATTTGCCCCAATCTGAAACACGAAAATGAACGAAAGGTGCCGTGGGTAAATCGACAAACTTAATCGCGTAAATAGTTCGACGATGTGAATTGCGAAAGAATAGAATTCCTATAAAGGTTGTTGAACGTCTATTTTTTTATGAAGTTGCAACAGTTCAGAAACCGTGAGCGACAGGGTTCGATAATGAAGTTTACCTGACGGCTTCCAGAGCTTCGGTCATAGCGTCTTCGCTCCACGGCGTAGGATTACTCCTGCTCAGTTCGATTCCTTCCCTTTTACATCTACCGTAGAGCGTCCCCGTGGGTATACCGAACTCCGTCGATGCCCTCTGCACGGACGTCTGACCTGACCTAATCGCTTCCAAAGCGCGGTCCAGGTCGGCCGGTGACCAAGTGGTGGGACTCGCGTTGAAGGGCGCGGCCAATCTGATCCCTTCTCTCCTCGCGATTTTGTACAATGTGCTGGAAGGTATACCGAACGCTTTCGAAGCTTTGTTCGCCGAGATCGTTCCAGTTCGCAACGCCTCGAGCGCGTTGTTCAAACTCTCGTCGCTCCACGACTTCGTTGGTCCGTCCTTTTTTGGTGTGTCTATGCCTAACCGGTGAGCCCTTTGCCACAGCGTCGTCGAGGGTATACCGAAAGTAGCTGAAACGATCACGATCAAGTAATGTAAGCATACAAAATACCGATCAATTTGCAAGACTTAACCCTTAGCGGTCCTGGCACCTTTACAAAGATCAGTTGTATCAGTTTTCTAATGGTAACTTGTCTTCTTGGAAACATGGATACAATTGGCTGGACGTGGGGCCGCGAAGGGTTAAGGCAAGTGTCCGAAGGGTCATATTTAAATTACCGGAGGCTTTCGTGAGACTCATGTTGTGATTCCTTAACGCTTCCAACGCGGCGTCCATGTCTTCTTGCGTCCACGACTTGGAGCCATGGTGATGGGAACTCGACTGGCCGGAATGACCCCTCGAGTTATTTTCACCGGAATCGGAGTGAACGGAACTTCCAGAGGGCATTAATCCGAGCAGCTCCGGCGTGATCATCATCATGTTGTCGCTGTCGGCCGCGTTCTTCGAGCTGACGCTCGCCCGATCCGACATGTGGCTGTCGATGTCGATGGTATCCGACGAGTCCATCGTGTGCAACGTTTCGAACTTAATCTTCACACTGTCACAGGTTTGAATCTCTGCAAGCAAATACGAATGAACAAAACGATACTTCCGGGTCCCATTTGAGCCGTCTGTCGATCGTTTATCGCGGAACCGCGTCGAATCGCGACGCGCTTTTAGCTTCTCTGCGCGAGTCCCACCTGGGATTTCGCGAAAGAAGCGCCGTCGAAGGCAAAGCTAGATGCGTGGACTAAATGAGGTTGCGTGGGCTGTTACGAACCGAGCAACGCAAATCTAATCGCAACTAGTTAAGCCCGATTAGACCAATTATTTTGATTCCCTCCCCGTCTAACGAACGGCTACGCTTTTTTTTTTTATTCCTCCTCCCATTACGATTCACCCACCACCGATCGAACGTTGCTCGTGCAGCAACAAACGATAACAGCATAACGATTCCCGCGTTATGTTAGGCGGTTTTGATCGTTGACTATAGTTTTGAAACAGTGACGTTCGGATCCTTTTCAATCCTAAATGCTAAAAAAGAGTCTGCACCTGTAGAATGATGATCCGGGTCCCTCAGATGGGTGATCGTAGTGCCAACCAAGGTGGCACTGGGTGGCGTAGGTTGGGTCTCTGGGGGCAGATCCACCTCCCCAGGATCCGGATGATGACCGTAATGGCCGAGTCCTGTATGACAAAACATGTCACCTTTTTATTTCAAGTGAAAAGAGTCTGTTCTATCGTATTTAGAATTGCTAAACCGCCCCACACCTGGAATCCTCAGTAACGAATGTAATTATCGAACAACGAACAAGAATGTTAGATACCGAGCTAACGAACTCGTTAAATAGATATAATATACCAATGTATGAACGAATTTACGAACAAAATGTGCGAGGATTCAGGTGTGGGGCGCCGAACTCTGTCAATCGACTTACCGTTGTTATTGTTGTTAGCACCGTTACCGTTGTTGTTGTTGTTGTTGCTGTTGTTCCGCTGGCAAGTTTCCAATACTATTGCTGCTGTCGTTCCCTCCGTGCAATCTTCATCTTCGGCCTGCCAGTCCCTGTGGTTCTGCGAAATATCCGGTACGAATTTAGCGACGACCATGACGAGATCGTGCCACCGTTCGCCGGACGGCTGTCACGTTCTCGTGCTTTCACCCCTCCCCTCCCACCCATCGCTCCCCCAACCCCTTGTAACATCGTTTTTCACCTTTTTTCCCCCCGTCGTACTTTCTTCGTCAATTCGAGTGTATTTTCTCGGCCGCTTACCTCTTTGTTCTCACGATTATAATTGTCGTTCGACTCCTCCTCTTTGTATCTGTCGTAGTGTCTCGAGTCCGTCGCCCGTGGTTCGAACGTGGTTCTGGCTCTCTTGTATCGCGGATGATGCCTCTTCAATTTGGTGAAATTTATCCTAGGCGTGCCGGGTTCACGGGGTGGCGAGCTCAGGCTGACCGATGGCGGACCGTCCCTGCTTTCCGGCACCTCGCAGAGGCCCTTTATCTTCAGCTGATCGGCCGTTTTCAACAGCGACTGAAACACGGATGGACCTGCTAGTTTATCGTTGCAAGATCGTGTTCGGAGTATCGCGGGTTTTCCGTAGCGATCTTCCCGGCGGGAACCGATCGGGAAGGGAGCAGATATTCACCTAGCGAGCAGGTGGAATTCTCATAGAGCGGATCGAACAATTATCAAAGTATTCCCGCGCATCGTCGTTGCATCGTGGACAAGACCGTACACGGAATAAACCCATTTCGGTAAACCGCTTTCCGAGAGGAATAAAGAAGAAGGGACCGCGGGGATTTGCATATTCCTGGTAAAACCTCGTCATCCTTGCGCCCCATTCCAACGGATACAGTTTCATCTCGCAGTTGCCGTCTGGCCGCGGCTCGGTCTAAAATCAGTTTTCACGATCCAGTTTCGGCGTGCAGCGATTCATCGGCACAGTGCGTCGACCCGCGTCGAGCACCGCGACGACGTCCTCCCTGAGACTATAACATCCATCCCACCCCCTCCTCTCTCTCTCTCTCTCTCTCTCTTCTGTGATCTTAACCTTGAAAGCGGCGCGCGAGGGAAACCGACCGAGGAAAAGAAACGCAAAGGAGAACGCGAAAGCGGCGTATGCCGAAAGAAAAGCGAACCCGACGAGCTCACGGGGGCTCCTTGGGCCGGAAGAGGCGCGTAGAAGGAAGCGGTAAACGAGAAGAGAAGACTTCCGCGTGAGAAAATTGTCTCGAGTGGAATTTTCGTTGCAGCCTGGTGCACGCGAGGACGCGAAAGAAGATCGATCTTTGCACGTTTCGAAACAAAATCAACGCAGTTTATGCATTATTGTACCATCTTGTTCGTGGTACCATGTACTCTCCGCGAAACTTAATAGTTTTTTCTTTTTCAGAAAGACGAATAGACAGAATTGTGAGTTGCATCGAGCCTGACGTGAAACCACGCCGACCAGGTGTATCAAGGGCGGAGGAGGGGAAGACCTAGAAGGAACTGCGAGTTTCATTGGGTGCGGACTTAAATTAATGAAAAATTACTGGATGCTGTCCATGTTCCTCTCACTCTGTCGAATGGGAGAAAGATGGATCAGTGCTGAAAGAAATAGCGAGTCGCTTAAGTCTGTCTCGGTGAAGCCAGCGACTACGGAAAAATGAATCGACGGAGTCCATGTTTTTCTTATCCTGGAAAGATATCGCGAGCTACATTGGGTCACAGGCATTTTCGTCCGCGATCGAAGAAAAATAACCCATAATCTGGAACGGTTCTTTCGCCCGCGCGTACGAGAATGGCGTAAAGGGGGAAAATCCGTGGAATGGACGGACGCGGAATTGACGAAAAGTGTAAAGAAAAGCGATGGAGGATAGGAGAAGCGAGAGAAACGGAATATAGAGGAGACGAAGAGAGAGGAAGCGAACGAGCGATCGAGAGCGAGGGCCGCGTTGAAGTTGAGGCTCTCTGTTCTTTAATCAAGGCAGGGGTGGTGCGATTAGGCGGGGTCGGCAAGGGGACAGGCGGTACGAGAGCGTCGGTGGCGGTGGTGGCGGCGGCGGCAACGGCTCGGCTAGGAGCGAGGGGGCTGAGGAAGCAGAGGAAGAGTTAGGCGATGGAAGCAGAGGTTCAGGTGGGGGGTTTAGGCAGGCTGCACCGGGGGTGTCGGTGGCGGCTGGAAAGCGGGCGTGGGTGGAAAACTGGGTGGCGGAGGGGTAGGACTAGGTTCACAGTGGTATGGTTGGAAGAGAAGAAGAGAGTTGCAACGACAGAAAGGGAGAGAATCTGACTGAGCTAGCGATTGAGTGAGCAGCTGAGGGAGACAGGGGAGGAGGGAACAGAGAGGGAAAGAGAGATACAGAGAAAGATAGATAGACTGAGAGAGTGAAAGAGAGAGAGAGAGAGAGAGAGAGAGAGAGAGAAGCAGAGAGGCAAAAACGCCCGCAGGAAGAATGGGGAGGCCTCCGACGCGGCTGTCGCGGCCCCAGGGCCGTATCGACCACCCCCAACCCCCGATTCTCTCTACGGCACTCGCGACGGCACCGACACCGATGACTTCCAACCGTTTCCACGCACACATCCTGTCTCTCTGTTGCTCTATGCATCTCTCTTCGCCCCTCCGCCCCCCCGTTTCTCGTTCTCTCTTCGTCTATCCTTGTCTCTTTCACACGCTTCCTCTCACCCGACGGCTGCGAACGGATACGTATAACCGCGTTGAAATGTCCGCGAATCTTCGAGCCCGACAATCCGTGAGTTCCGTGGTATTGGTTGCAGCAGGGTGATCGAACTTCCATGTCGGACGTGCACGCCGCGGCGACAACCTCGGCGTAACGATGCTAACAGGAGTAATTGGGACTCCCGGGCAGAGCACGATTTACCCCGAAAATTTACCCGAAATCGTCGCCACGTTTTCTCCGACCAACGTACAAGCAATTCGCGATGTCGACGAGCTTTGTGGGTCGGTCGTAGAAGCGGTCTCTGCGGGAAAAGTCTTCCGTTACTGCGACCGCTTTCCCCGTAACATTTTTTTGGAGTCAGACGTTAAGAGAACGTCTGTCTGATAATTGTTAGATCGGTTTCCTTTGTCGCGCGTAGATTCGATGAGATGTCGTTCGACGGTGGTGTTCCGTAAAATGGGTTTTCACGAACGAAAGAGGGTTTTGGAGAGGCGCGATGTTTAAATGACACGACGACGACGATGACGACGACGGCGACGACGACGACGGGACTTGGAGAACCACGGACGCTAGGCAATGGGTTGGTAGGGTAGTGCGGGTGTTGGTGCAGGGGTTAGGGAGCGGGTGGGTAGTTGGTTGGTTCGGCGGTGGATGCATAGGGGTGGTGCCATCGGTTCGGAGGCAAGAGGGAAAGCCACCGGCAGAATCCAACCTCACCAATCAATACTTAGGGTTCAAGGGCATCGCCCGACCAATTATCCCAGACTAATTGACGCGAGACGAGAGAAAAAATTCTACCCCTGGCGGGTTACTTCCGATCTGTGTCTTTGGCAGGCGACGTTCGCGGAATGTTTTGGAAACGCGTTATATAGGCGGAAGTCGACGACCGGCGGGGGCACGTCGAGAGGAGTATCGAACTCGACGGAAACCGTTCCCGTCGCGAACGAATCCCATTCCTCGAACGAACGGCCGATTCGTTTTGATTTTCCCTGGAACCGTCCGCTTTGAGAAACATCGGACGGCAAACAACCGACGATTCGTCCCACAGGAATCGAACCCCGATTGGGTGGAGGAGAGGGGGAGGTGAGGGAGGGCAAATGCGAGTCCCGAAGGCGGGAAAAGCGACGGAGAAAAAGAGAGACGCGAAGAGAGGGACGAATTGGTGAAAGATCTTCCCATCGAGGTAGAACACGACGTTGGGTGGAGTTCTTTCGCAGGAAGAAATAAGGGGGCGATAGAACGAGAAGTCCAACAGGTGTAAATCCGCAAAAAGATCGACCGTGGAAACGTTTCACGAGAACAGGAAGGACGCGAAGGGGTGGCAACGGGGTTGGTCTCCGTGAGGTCGTACCAGGAGACGGTGTAAGGTATATTATACAGACACACCGCCAGGAAGAGACCCAGGAGGCGCAGGAAGAAGAGAAGAGAGAGTTGGAAAGGGGGAGAGAGGGTAGCAGATACGTGAAAGAGAGAAATGAGGAGGAAAGCGGGGAGAGAACGCACAGGGGAATCCCCGAAGATGGTCGTAGGGTCGTCTCCACTATTACGAATACGGCGCCATAACGGAATTGATAATGTAACGGGCGTCACGAGCATAACCTTCCTCTCTTCTTCTCCACGCTACATAACCTCCTTTCTGAATGGAAGCGCGACTCTGGCCACCACGTGCTCCTCGAGCAAATGCAAGAATACGCCGGTATCCTCGTAGATGACAGTACATTAGTCGCGTCTTACGTCGAAACGTTTACTCTTACAAAACCTGCCGATATTTTCTGTAACGTTCGTATCGGTCGTTGGATTTTCTTCGCGGAACTTAGGATATCGATAATGCCCTCGTAACTCCTTCCCAGAGCTTTGTCCGCGCTTAGATCCGTTCCTATCGATCAAAAGACAACTATCTACAGTATGCGGATCCGAATAAACGTGTCGTTGTATCGCACGCTACGAGCTAATTGCATTCCTTTTTTTTACTGCATATTGGAATTTTCCTCGAGCATCCGAACGCGACAATTGAATTTTTTCGCTGTCGGATCCGTTTCCACCCGTGATTAACAGAAGGCTTTACAAATATCCGACAGTGGTGTCTAAATCGACGAGATAAGACGTGCGTGACGGGAATGTTTACGAATGTGAAGTGGAGAAGGCTGATAATGCGGGTAGCGCAGTTTCGCAGGCGTTCCAAAGGATTCTCGAGCACACTGGATTACCTCTCGATCGTTCTCCTCTCGTAAGGGTAATTTTTTAGCAACACGGACACCGAGTTAATCGTAAAACGGTAACGTGTTTGCGTCGACTCGAGGGGGGAAAAAAATTCTCGCGAGCGTGGACACTGGATCGGGTCAAGTACGATTTAAATCTTCGAGGAAAGAAACTACGTTTCGGAGTGTTATCCGAGCTAGGTGTAGCATCAATGACCGAACGCAACGAGCGACTTACTAAGGCGTCCGCGGACGTTTATGCGCGTCTCATTATTTACACAACGTGTGCGACACTCCACGCGTTCGATCGACGCCTCTCGTGTATCGTAATCCGTATCTTCGTTTCGATGCGAATTATTCGAGCGTCGCAGACTTCGTAAACACTTCGCGAACGCGTCCGGCACCGTATCGGCCCGTTGCATCTGTGTTTCATTCATGAGAAAGACACTTTTGCACGCAATCACGGTTCGTCGACGTTTCGAATACACGCGCGGCAACTTGTAAACGATACACGGGAACGATTTCAGACCGCGATACCTCGATTCGGAAGAAACGAGAAAGTAAGGTCCGCACGGAACAGTCTGGCGCACAAAAATATCTTGAAACACGATGGCTCACGTGCACGATACGGTCGTCCAAACGTTCGGCGGGTAATATGCTGTCGTGTATT